GGGGTCAGAGCGGGGTCCTGAGGGGTCTGGGGGGGCCTGAGGGGTCAGAGCGGGGTCCTGAGGGGTCAGAGCGGGGCGGGGGGGCCTGAGGGGTCAGAGCGGGGTCCTGAGGGGTCAGAGCGGGGGGGCCTGAGGGGTCAGAGCGGGGTCCTGAGGGGTCAGAGCGGGGCGGGGGGGCCTGAGGGGTCAGAGCGGGGTCCTGAGGGGTCAGAGCGGGGTCCTGAGGGGTCAGAGCGGGGTCCTGAGGGGTCAGAGCGGGGGGCCTGAGGGGTCAGAGCGGGGTCCTGAGGGGTCAGAGCGGGGCGGGGGGTCCTGAGGGGTCAGAGCGGGGGGCCTGAGGGGTCAGAGCGGGGGGTCCTGAGGGGTCAGAGCGGGGGGTCCTGAGGGGTCAGAGCGGGGCGGGGGGGCCTGAGGGGTCAGAGCGGGGGGCCTGAGGGGTTTGGGGGCGCTTGTCTCTTTTTGCCTCCGAGGGAACCCCGAGGATGGGGAGCGGCTCCTCGCTGGGTTGGGTGGTGGGAGGACTCGGTGACCTCAAAGGTCTTCTCCGACCTTTGTGAGGCTTTTCCAACCATTCTGTGGGTCTGGGGTTCTTTAGCATATTCCAATTCTAATTCTAATTCAACACCCCAAACTTGGTGTTATTAGCACCAAGCTAAGCTCAGTGGCTTTTATGTCTATATACTGTCTCTATTTATCTCTATATTATCTCTAATTATCTGTCCATATTGTCTTTATTTACCTCTATATGATCTCTATTTATCTCTATGTCTGTATTATCTCTATTTATCTCTCTATATTGTCTCTATTTCTCTATTATCTCTATCTCTCTATATTGTCTCTATTTATTTCTATATTATCTCTATTTATCTCTCTATGTTGTCTCTATTTCTATATTATCTCTATCTCTCTATATTGTCTCTATTTATTTCTATATTATCTCTATTTATCTCTCTATGTTGTCTCTATTTACCTCTATACTATTTCTATTTATGTACTTATCTATTTATCCTATTTGTCTATTTATATTGTCTCTATTTATCTCTCTATTATCTGTATTTATCTCTCTATATTGTCTCTATTTATTTCTACATTATCTCTAATTAACTCTCTATATTATCTCTATTATATTATTATATTATCTGTATTTATCTCTCTATATTATCTCTATTATATTATTATATTATCTCTATACATCTCTCTATATTGTCTCTATTTATTTCTATAATATTTCTATTTATCGATTTATCTATGTATTCTATTTATCTCTATATTATCTCTATATATTTATTTATATTATCTTTATATATCTCTCTATATTATCTCTATATATCTCTCTATATTATCTCTATTTGCCTCTCTATATTATCTCTATATTGTCTCTATTTATCCCTCTATTAACTCTATTTTATGATTTATATACTCATTTATTGTCCAGGTCGCTACGTATTATAGATTAATACAGAATATATAACAATATGTGATCAATAACCAATGATTTCTAATGGAGACCATTAATACATAATAATAGATAATGTCGTCTATCACATAATATAAGATTATTATATTATATTACTATATTATTATGTTATTAAGCATTGTGTTATTCTATTTTATATGTTATTACATTTTTTATATACTATTATGTTGTTATATTAATAAGCTTGTGTTATTTTATTCTATATTACTATAATTGTATATTGTGATGTTTTATTCTATATTATTATATTATTATACTATTATATTGTAATATTATTATATTTATTATATTATATTCTATATTATTATACTATTATACTATTATACTATTATTATATATTATTATATTATTATATTATTATATTATTATATGAATGAGTGTGGTATTACTTTATTACATTTTAATGTATTTATACCTATTTTTATATATTCTATTGATAGGTAATTAATACATTCCAGTGGCAGGTAACCCTCCCCCTAACAAGGGGCTGACCTGGCTGATCTTTTAAGGCCCCTCCCCACCCACCCCATTCCACAATTCCCTAATTTAACTCATCATTTCACATTTTTACCTCATTCCACTCTTCCACCGAGCAGCGAGCGCGGGCACCGCGGGGCAGAGACCCAAAAAATGCCCAAAGGGCCCCAGGAAGGGCAGAGATCCCCCCCTGTCCCCCTCCCCCGGGGCTGAGCAAACACATCCATCCCCCATTGTGCCGGAGCTGCTGAGCCATCGCAGCCCCGACAAAGGGATTTGGGACAAACAGAGCCCCCCCGGCCGCGGCACGGCTGTGTCAGCGATTCCCGCCCCGCTGGAACCTGCCAGGCCTGGCCCAGCGCTCCAAAAACATGGAAATTCATTTAATTTAGCTTAATTCCCCTCCTTTTCCTGCCCCGCTCCTTCGGCTTTCGGGGTTGTTTTAGAGAAAGCGCCGAGGAGCGTCCCGCACTTCCAGCTGTTGGCATAAACACCACAAAACCGGGTGTAAATCCAAAAAAATCCAAAATGAGGATTTTCCCCTCCTGTTTTTCCCCTTCCTATTTTTCCCCCTCTCTATTTCCCCAAATTTCGGGATCATCATCCAGGGAAAATCGCAGTGCCGGAGCATCCAGCGCGGCTCTCCCCATCCATCCCACCCCCCAGCCCAGCTTTGTGCCAAACCAACCCCGATTATTTTTTTTTGCCGTTTCCGCACCCGATTCCCGGTGTTTTCAGCCCAGAAGGGCGCGGTGCTGCCCTTACCCGTGCCGGGGCCCCGCTGGCTCTGCCGGGTTCGGCTTTTCCCGCAGGATCGGGGCAGGTCCGGCCCCCGGAGGGGAGGGAGAGCGGGGAGGGCCCGGGGACAGCCCCGGGGCGGCTTCCAGGGGGCCAAAATAGCCAAAAATAGCCCAAAATATAACCCAAAATAACCAAAATATAACCCAAATAGCCCAAAATAGTCCACAATAACCCCAAATAGCCCAAAATAACAAAAAATAACCCAAGATAACCCAAACTAACCCAAACTAGCCCAAAATAGCCCAAACTAACCCAACATAGCCCAAAATAGCCCAAACTAACCCAAAATAGCCCAACATAACCCAACATAGCCCAAAATAACACAAAAGAGCCCAAAATAACCCAAATTGCCCAAAATAACCCAAAATAACCCAAAATAGCCCAAAATAACCCACAATAACCCAAAATAGCCCCAAATAAACCAAAATAGCCCAAAATAAACCAAAATAGCCCAACATAACCCAACATAGCCCAAAATAACCCACAATAACCCAAAAATAACCAAAATAGCCCAAAATAGCCCAACATATCCCAAAACAACCCAAAATAAGGTGGGTTTACCTGCTGGAGGGAAATGCCCAAGGCTGGAGCCTGCAGATTGCAGGGGTAAATTATCCCTGGGATGGGTAATTCCTAAGGGATGGGTAAATCCTAAACCTGCCCCAATATTCCCTAAAAATCTGCCAGAAATTTAGGTGGGAATCTGTAAATCTGGGAGGTGAGAGCGTTTCTCCTTGGGAATTCTCCACTAGGATTTTACTCTTTTCCCCCATTTTTTACTCATTTCCACGGCATTTCTACCCACAAAAGCGATTTATTCTGGACAAAGCCAGGCTCTGACTCGGGGGGTTTGATTCTGCATGAAGTTGCTAGATATTTTATTTTATTTTATTTATTTTATTTTATTTCCTTGTTAATCCACGCAGCAGTGCCACAATCATCCTTCAAACACACCCAAAGCTCCTCTCGCTGTACAAATACTTTCACCAACGCGAGTTAAAGGTGGAAAAGGTACCATTAAAATTAAAATTTAAATTTAAAACATTAAAAATTAAAAAAAAAAGAAAAAAATTACAAAGATGCATTTGCAAAAACTCAAAGGGAGGTGGGGGGAAAGTCAGAGGTTAATTCACATCGAGGTATAAAATGGGTATTGCTGGTTTAGCCGGGGAGGAAAGAGGTTTTTCCTGGTTTCACCAGGATCGTTTCCTGGCTAGAAAACGGATTTGGAAAACAAAATCCTCTTATTTCTGCCTCCTCCTGCCTCTCCCCTTTCCCCACCCGGACCCCTCGAGGCGCTCGAGGCCCTCAGCCATTCGCTTTTGTGGTTTTTGGCATTTTCAGCTACCAGAGAGGTTTGACATCGTGGTTTTCTGCAAAATCCTGAAATATTAGTGCAAATTACAGGGGGGGCGAGGGGCCACGCCGTGGCTGCAGCTTTGGGGGGAAAAATGGGAAACGCACCCAGAGCCCCCAGGTCAGGTTAAACCCCCCAAAACCTCAGCCAACCCTTGGGATTTACAAATCCTCCCCACACCTGGGAATTATTGCGGTGATGGGGCAGGAATGTGCTTTTCTCATTAAAAAAAAGAGGAATTTTTTGTGCTCTGTTGCTGCCGAGCAGCAGGACCTTCACGGGGAGCCACAACGGGCATTTCCAACCTGAGCCCCCCAAAATTCCAGGTCTGGAATTCTCCTCTCTTTTCTCTCTTTTTTTGTTGTTTTTTTTCCCCCTGTGTTTTCCAGAATTTGGAATTTCCAATCTGCGCCCCCCCAGAATTCCAGCTCTGGAATTCTCCTCTCTTTTCTCTTTTTTTAAAATTTTTTTTCCCCTGTGTTTTCCAGAATTGGGAATTTCCAACCTGAACGCCCCCAGAATTCCAGCTCTCCTCTTTTTTCTCTTTTTTTTTAAATTTTTTTTTCCCCCTGTATTTTCCAGAATTGGGCATTTCCAACTTGAGCCCCCCCCAGAATTCCAGCTCTGGAATTCTCCTCTCTTTTCTCTTTTTTTTTGTTGGGTTTTTTTTTTTTTTTCGCTGTGTTTTCCAGAATTGGGTATTTCCAACCTGAGCCCCTAAAATTCCAGGTCTGGAATTCTCCTCTTTTCTGTTTTTTTTGTTGTTTTTTTTCCCCCCTGTGTTTTCCAGAATTGGGCATTTCCAACCCGAGCCCCCCAAAATTCCCAGCTCTGCAGTTCTGGCATCCCCACCTCGGTGCTGCTCACAGATTTCCTCTTTTTTCTATTCATTTTTTTGGCCTTTTTTTCCCCGGATCTGAGGCTTTGGCTGGAGCTGCCCCAGCCAGAGCCCTGCTGGGAGGAGCCCCCCAAGGGTTTTGAGGGATGGAGTTTTTGGTGGGGGGGTTTGGCTCGGGCTCGGGGCCGTCCAGGAGCGTTTTGGGGATTTGGTGCAGCACATCCCCGGGATGCTCACATGGCCGTGGGGCCCTCGCAGATCTCCTCCAGCCTCTGCTCGATCATCAGCCGCAGGATGGAGTACCTGGGGAGGGGGCACAGAAATTTTAAATAAAGGATTTTTCCACCCTGCAATAATTCAAACCCTGTTTGGGGACGTTAAACCCCACTTTCACCACAAAACCAGGCAGAAAATCACACCAAAAAATCCCAAAATGAGGATTTTTCCCTCCTATTTCCCCCCCCTCTCTGCTTCCCCAAATTAGGGATGGCCAGGCAGGGAAAATCCCAGTGCTGGAGCATCCCAGGGCTGCACAAATGAGATTTGTTTTTTGGGATTTTCTTCCCTCCCAGCCCCACGTACTTGTGCTTCAGCTTCTTCACTTCCCGGTCCTCCTCCTCCTCCAGCTTCTGGATGAAGCTCCTGAGGATGGGCATCTCGAATTTGATGTACTGGGCGACCTGAGGGGCACGGGAGAGGCAGGAGATGGTGAGGAGGGGGATGAGCTGACCCACGCCCATTCCTCCCCTTAGATTTCACCAAAGATCCCAAAATTTTGCAGTGAACCCTAAAAAAAATAAATGATGTTTGTGACCATCAGCTCGTGGAAACAAATGGATAATTATGGGGAAAAGATGTGCCTAAGGTTTATTTGTTTTATTTTTATTTTAATTCACCCACTGGCTGCTGGAGGTGGCTCTGAGTGTCCCCAAGGTCTCGGAGCTGTTTGATCCCAAATTGACCCCAAAAGTGCCGGGTTTGGGGCGGGATTTCAGAGCAGAGCCGGCAGATGGCACAAGGGAGCCGCTCCCAGCCGGCGGAAAAACAATTTGGGAAATTCCTGTTCTGGGGATGGCAGGGCTGGGATGGCAGAACGGGGCTGGGGATGCACTGGGGATTAACTGGGAATGGACTGGGAATGTACTGGGAGTGCACTGGGAATGCACTGGGAATGCATTGGGAATGAACTGGGAATGAACTGGGAATGCACTGGGAACAGAGTGGGAATGGACTGGGGGCTGCTCTGCGAATGTACTGGGAATGTACTGGGAATATTCTGGGAATGCTCTGGGAATGAACTGGGAATGTACTGGGAAGGCAACTGGGAATGAACTGGGAATGGACTGGGAAGGCAACTGGGAATGAATACACTGGGAATACACTGGGAACAGACTGGGAATGCTCTGGGAATGCACTGGGAATGCACTGGGAATGGACTGGGATTATACTGGGAATGCACTGGGGCTGCTCTGGGAATGAACTGGGAGTGCACTGGGAATGCTCTGGGAGTGCACTGGGAACCCACTGGGAATGCCCTGGGGAATTTCCTGGAGGATCAGGAGTTTCCATGGACAGAGCAGCTCCCGCAGCCCCAGCACGTCTCTGTCCATCGGGGACAAACCCTCCCCTGTGGGGGTGAGGAGGGGCTGGCACGGAGTTCCCAAAAAAGCCCCCCCAGGATCCCTGGCAGCGCCCCAGGCTGGGCACTGGGGCTTGGAGCCAGCAGGGCCAGGGGAGGGTCCCTGCCACGGCAGGGGTGGCACCGGGTGGGCTTTGGGGTCCCTCCCACCCAAACCCGGCTCTCCCCAAACACCCCAAAGTGCCCCCGCACCCCCAGGGCGCACTCACGTCGTAGGTGACCTCCTCCACCTGGTCCTTCTCCATGAGGAACACCTTGGACACCTGCTCGCAGGGGCCCTGCAGCACGCGGGCCAGCAGCGGGAAATCGCTGCCGCGCAGCCGCTGCTTCTCTGCAAGGACAGCGATGGAACCGCGGCCTTGGCACCGCCGGGGCACCGCGGTACCGGCTGTGCCCACGGGGTACCGGCAGTGCCAGGGTGGTTCTGGCAGTGTCTGAGTGGTACCAGAAGTGCCTGCGCGGTACTGGCAGTGCCCATGAGGTACCAGCACTGCTCATGAAGTACTGGCAGCGCCCAGGTGGTTCTGGCAGTGCCTGGGTGGTACTGGAGGTGCCAAGGCAACACCAGCAGGGCACGGTGGTACAAGCAGTGCACAGGTGGTAGTGGCAGTGCCTGAGTGGTACTGGCAGTGCCAGGGTGCTACCAGCAGTGGCAGAACAGTACCGGCAGCGCCCAGGTGGTTCTGGCAGTGCCAGGGTGGCTCTGGCAGTGTCTGGGTGGTACCAGCAGTGCCAGGGTGGTTCTGGCAGTGCCTGGGTGGTTCCACCAGTGCCCCAGTGGTACCGGTGGTGCCTGAGTGCTTCCGGCAGTGCCCATAAGGTACCAGTAGTGCCAGGGCGGTACCAGCGGTGCCTGGGTGGTGCCAACACTGCCCATGAGGTACCAGCAGTGCCTGGGTGGTTCTGCCAGTGCCCCAGTGGTACCGGTGGTGCCTGGGTGGTACTGGCACTGCCCATGAGGTACCAGCAGTGTCTGGGTGGTACCAGCAGTGCCAGGGTGGTTCTGCCCGTGCCCCAGTGGTACCGGTGGTGCCTGGGTGGTACTGGCACTGCCCATGAGGTACCAGCAGTGTCTGGGTGGTACCAGCAGTGCCAGGGTGGTTCTGCCAGTGCCCCAGTGGTACCGGAGGTCCTGGCAGTGCCAGAGCGGTACCAGCAGTGCCAGGGTGGTACTGACAGTGCCTGGGCAACACCAGGGCCAAGGTGGCAGCACTTTGGCCCTGGTGCTGGGGATTTGGGGCACTCATGTCCAGCAGTTTGGGAATAATTTGGGGCACTCATGTCCAGGAGAATTTGGGGCACTCACAGCCAGGGTTTTGAGGTGCTCATGCCCAGGGGTTTGGGGCACTCACCTCCGCTCGTGTGCACCATGTACAGGGCAAACTCCTCTGCTGAGTTCTCGATCTGGGGGGAGACACAAAGCTCTGATAAAGGGATGGGTTCTGCCCTGGTATACTAGATATACATATATATATATGTGTGTGTGTGTATATATATACACACATACATATATGTGTGTGTATGTATACATATATACATATATAAAATGTGAATGCAGATTTTATACATACAATATAAATATATTATATATAATATAAATGTTTATATATAACATAAAGATCTATAAATAATATAAATATAAATATATAAATATAAATATAAATATAAATATAAATATAAATATAAATATAAATATAAATATAAATACAATTACAAATATAAATACAAATATATAATAATAATAATTTATATATATATATATAATCTGAACACAGATTTTATACATATAACCTATAAAACATTTTAACTTACTTTAACCACAACACAAGCTGCACTCAGAGCACTGAGCGGAGGGTGGTGCCCATACCTTGAATTTGTTGAGCAGCAGTTTGAGCACCTGGGGCGTGGTCATGGTGCTGTTGATGCGCACGTTGGTGACGGAGCCGTAGGCGGGTGTGAACACTGAGGTCTGTGGGGCACAGCGGGCACTGAGAGCCCTGCCAGGACCCCCTGGACCCCTCCCCAGAGCCCTATGTAAGATTCTGTCCAAAATTCCTCTCATTTTTGCCTCACAATCCTCATTGGGGAGCACTGAAGAGAAGACCCCGCCTGAAATCTCTGCTGAGAACACGGACTGCGTGTACCCTTCCCAAACACCATTCTTTCCCCCAAAGATACAATAGACAACGTCTGATTTGGTATCAAGATTCGTCCCCTTCCCTCATCAAAAAAGAGTATAATTAGGGTCTTGATGAACTGGAACCTCTGAGATCTCCCTGGATAGGGCCTAGTGAACTCCATGGGCTGGACACTGAAGGACTCCGCCATTCTAAGTTTGGTAGCTACATACCTTTCTTTTTTCCCTCCCTCTTTTCTTTATTTTTCCCCTTTTTTCCCCGCAATTCCTCCTCATCACATTTCACTGTGGTTTTCCAATAAAGCTGCATTTGTTTCGATTATCACTGCAAACCCCCTTGTACCATATCGGTTCTTTTTGCACTCTGGGATCACGAAGCATCACCTTGTACCGTGATGGTTCTTTTTGAACTCTGGGATCACAAACCACCACGAAACCCACCCCTGAGGCCCGATGGTGGCACCAGGCTCACCTTGTGGTTGTAGAAGTGCCCGTTGATGGAGAAGCGGTGCCGCCGCAGCCGCCGCTGCTCGCCGGCCGTGCGGGCGCTGCCGCGGGGCCGGACGCCGACGTCGCTGCGGGTCCTCATCAGCTGCGGGGCCTCCTCTGCCCTGGGGGCTGCACAACACCTTCCACTGCAGTGGATCCCGACCCTGGGACTACTCCCAGTGGATCCTATCCTGGAGGATCCGAGCCCCAGGAGAGCCCCGGGACTGATCCTGGTGGACCCAACCCCAATGGATCCAAGCCCTGGGACTACTCCTGATGGATCCGGGCTCTTGGACCACTCCTGATGGGTCCAAGCCCAGCGACCACTCCTAGTGGATCCAAACCTGGTGGATCTGAGCCTTGTGATCCATCCCAGTGGATCTGAGCCCTGTGATCGATCCTGGTGGATCCAATCCCGGTGGATCCAAGCCCTGGGACCACTCCCAGTGGATTTGAGCCCCAGCACCGATCCCAGTGTATCCGATCCTGATGGATCCAAGTCCAATCCTGCTGGATCCAAACCTGATGGATCTGAGCCCCAGGACTGATCCTGGTGGATCCAATCTCAGTGGATCCAAGCCCTTGGACCACTCCCAGTGGATCCGAGCCCCAGCACCAATCCCGGTGGATCTTATCCTGGTGGATCCAAGCCAGATCCTGGTGGATCCCATCCTGGTGAATCCAAGCCCCAGGACCCATCCCAGTGGATCTGAACCTGGTGGATCCAAGCCCTGGCACCACTCCCGGTGGATCTGATCCCTGTGGATTCCAGTCCCAGTGGACCCAAGCCCAGCTCACCTGTACCATTCCCGGGATTCTCCGTGCCGGTGGCCGTGTCCACATCTGTCACCTGGATGTCCGGCAGGGTGCTGGGCTTCAGCACGGACCTGGGGGGACAGAGAGGGGTGGGTGACCTGTCCTGGGTCCCTGTCCCGGGGTGCCTTGCCCTGCACAGCCTGACAGGCTGGAGGGAGGTTTTGGGGCTGTTTGTGTGGGTTTGGGGCTGTTTGTGTGGTTTTTGGGGCTGTGTGGTTTTGGGGCTGAATGTTTTTGGGTTGTCTGTGTGTGGTTTTGGGGCCCTCTGCCTCTTTTTGGGTGCTGTCTGTGTGGTTTTGGGGCTGTGTGGTTTTGTGTCTGTCTGTGTGTATTTTTGGGGATGCCTGCCCGTTTTTGGGGCTATGTATTTTTGGGTGTGTGGTTTTCAGGGCTTTGTTTTCAGGGCCATGTTTTGGGGCTGCCTGCTCATTTTCAGGGCTGTGTTTTTCAGGGCTGTGTTTTTCGGGTCTGTATTTTCAGAGCTGTTGTATTTTTCAGAGATTTTCAGGGCTGTGTTTTGGGGCTGTGTTTTTTAGGTCTGCGTGTTTTCAGGGCTGTGTTTTGGGGCTGCCCCTGCCCTGACTCACCCGTGGGCGCCCAGGTTGCAGCCCGAGTGCCAGGAGGAGGAGGAGGGTGGCGGGCGGATGCGCTGGTTGTCGTCCTGCATCTGCAGGCGGATGGGGCGGCGCAGCCCCCACGAGATGTTCAGCAGCCCCTCCACAATCAGCTCCCCTTCCTCCTGCAGCCACAGTTACACACAGAAAATGGGAATTTTACACACAAAAAATGGGAATTTTTACACACAGAAAATGGGAAGTTTACACACAGAACACAGGGATTTTATATGTAGAATATAAGGATTTTATACACAGAATATAAAGATTTTATATGTAGACTGTAAGGATTTTATATACAGAATATATGGATTTTATACGTAGACTACAAGGATTTTATGCATGCAATATAAGGATTTTATACATATAATATAAGGATTTTATATATATAATATAAACATTTATATAGAATAAAAAGGTCTACATATCATATAAAAATCATATATATATATGTATAATTAGAATGCAGATTTTATATATATAATGTAAATATATATATAAGTAATGCAAATATATAATATATATGGTAAAGGTTTATATATATAAATGGTAAAGATTTATATATATAAATTCATATATCTATGTAATCTGAATGCAAATTACATATATATAAAGATCTTTTTTATATATATATATATAATCCAAATGCAGATTTTCTATCTATAATGTAAAGATTATATATAGAGCGATATATAAAAATTCATATATCTATATAAACTGAATGCAAATTACATACATAAAATCTAAATATTTTTAATATATATATAAATCCCAGTGCAGACTGTATATGTATATATATAGTGTAAAGATTTTGTATATAGTATTTATATGTAGATTTATATGTAAAAATTTTATATATATATATATATATATATATATATATATATATATAATGTGAATGCAAATTACATACATATATAAAAATATAAAATTATAATATATATATATCATATAAATTTGGAATTCCCAGAGGAGCCGTGGCTGCCCCTGGATTCCCTTTTGTGCCCCTCACTCCCCTCCTCTCTCACCTCCCGGTGCCGCAGCTGCAGGTTCTGCCCCTCGTAGTAGATGTTGTAGGTCTTGAGGTGCAGGAGCAGTTCATTCCTGTGGGAAAAAATTAAAAAAAATTTTAAAAATTAGGAAAAAAGGTGCTGAGATGGGGTTTGGGGTGAGACGCTGCAGGCACCACCAGTGACCCCTGAGCTGCTATGGGAAAAGCAGGAATTGCTGCCCTGGCTGAGGAACCCTCTGTGCTGCTGGAGACCCAAAAATTGCTTTATTTGAGGCAGATTTGCGTCATTTTCCTCCTCCCTCATTGAAGGTTTTGTGGGGGTCCAACGTTTTGCAGCCACAATCAGGGGGAGCAGCTCCCCGTGAGGGTGTCCCCCATAAACGTCCCCAAAAGGCACAGGAAACCCCAAAGGAGCTGGGGGCAGTTGGTCACGAGCTGAAAACCAAATAATTATATCAGATTTCTGGGGGTCACGCTGGAGTCACGAGTGGTCACAGGCGAGGTGGCCATGCCGGGCTCCTCCAGCTCAGAACAAAGCTCCGAGGGGCAAAGTGGTGAGGAAAACAAAAATAAATAAAAATAAAAATCAAAAACAAGGACAAAAATTGAGATTAAAAAAAAAATTAAAAGGTGGAAATAAAGATATGTATGGAAACAAAAATAAAATAAATAAACTACAGCAATGGAAATCATTGAAAAATCAAAGTGAGGCACGCCAGGCTGGCTGAGGATCACAGGACATGATGCCTCCAGCATTAATTCCCAGTTAATTAATTAATTAATTAATCCTCAGCTCCCAAAGCTGGGCTGGCCAAGAGAGGTTCAGGATGCTCAGCTGATAGAAACCAGCCCGAATCTTGGGAATTGTTTGATATTGTTGTATATTATTATATGTTATACATGAGATAGTGTTGTTACATATTGTATATATTGTTATATGCTGTATATATTGTTGTATATTGTTAGATATAGTATACATACAATACAATAGCTAGATATATTTATAGTATATATTGTTATAGACTGTTATATATTGTTAGATATTGTTATACATTGTTATATATTACACATTCTAGAGTGTTGTTATATATAGTATATATTGTTATATGTTGGTATATATTGTATATATTCTTGTATATTGTTAGATATGGTATATATATTGTATATATTGTTAGATATTGCTATATATTACACAGTGTTGTTATATATTGTATATATTGTTATATGTTGGTACATATTGTATATATTCTTGTATATTTTAAATATCATATATATACAATACAATATATACATTGTATATATTGTTAGATATTGCTATATATTACACGTTCTATAGTGTTGTTTTATATTGTATATATTATATATTATACATTAGATAGTGTTGTTATATATTGTATATATACAATACAATATATAGATTGAATATCTTGTTAGATATTGTATATCTTGTTGTATATTGTATATATTGTAAGATACTGTATATATTGTTAGATATTGTATATTTTAGGTTCCGGATAACACATCCCACACCAGATTCCCCATTTCAGGTTCCAGCTAACCCATCCTATATCCCATATCCCATACCCCATACCCCACATCCATCCCATATCCCACATTCTATACCCCATATCCCATGTCCGTCCCATATCCCATATCCTATACCCCACATCCATCTCATATCCCATATCCCACATCCCACATCTCAAATCCATCCCATATCCCCTATCCCAAATCCATCCCAGATCCCATATCCCACATCCCAGATCCCATACCCCACATCCATCACCCCATATCCCATATCCATCTCCCCACATCCCAGATCCCACACTCCACATCCATCACCCCATATCCCATATCCATCTCCCCATATCCCATATCCCATACTCCACATCTCATACCCCACATCCATCCCATATCCCATATCCCATATCCCATATCCCACATCCATCCCATATCCCACATTCTATACCCTATATCGCATATCCGTCCCATATCCCATATCCCATACCCCACATCCATCCCATATCCCACATCCCACATCTCAAATCCATCCCATATCCCCTATCGCAAATCCATCCCAGATCCCATATCCCACATCCCAGATCCCATACCCCACATCCCAGATCCCATACTCCACATCCATCACCCCATATCCCATATCCATCTCCCCATATCCCATACTCCACATCTCATACCCCACATCCATCCCATATCCCATATCCCATATCCCATATCCCACATCCCAGATCCCATACCCCATACTCCACATCCATCATCCCATATCCATCTCCCCACATCCCAGATCCCATACTCCACATCTCACACCCCACATCCATCCCATATCCCATATCCCATATCCCACATCCCCTGAACACCAGGAACACTCCAGTCCCGTGTCCCCAACCTTTCCCCACCGTGTCCCCTGTGTCCCTCACCATGTCCCGCCCTTTTCCCCCGTGTCCCCCCGTGTCCCCACACCTGGAGATGAACTTGTCCTTCCCGCAGGGCACCGCGCCCCCCGTGCTGAGCTCCATGGCGGGGCCGGGCGGGCATGGGGGGAGCCGGGCTGGGGGGACACGGCGGGGTCAGGAAAGGCAAGCCAGCCACCCTGCCCGGGGGGAGAAAACTGAAAATGGAAATAAAAATAAAATAAAAATAAAATAAAATAAATTTATGAACATAAATATAAATATAATTATAAATAAAATTATAATTAAACTTATAAATAAAAATTATAAATATAACTATAAATATTTTATAAATATAAATGTAAATAGAATAGAAATATATAAATAACATAGATATAAATATAAATATTAAATATAAATATAAATATAAATACAATAATAAATATAGACACAATTATAAATACACATATACATATACATATAAATAATTTTAGAATATAGGTATACATATATATAAATGTATAAATGTATAAATATAATGGAAATAAAAATTAAAAAATAAAACCAAAGCAGCAATATAAATATAAATTATAAATTATAAATATAAAGGAAATGGAAATAAAAATGGAAATAAAAATGAAAATAAAAGTAAAACTAAAGCTAAGAACGAAACAAATTAAAAATGAAAATAAAATAAATAACAAATTAAAAGGCAATGAAAACAAACCAAAAATAAGAAAAAAAAGTAAGAATAAAAATTAAAGATAATAAAAATTAATCAATAATCAAAATAAATTAAAATTAAAATTTAAAATAATATAGAATAATAAATTAATAAAACTTTAAATAAATAAATAAAAAATAAACTATAAAATAAATAAATAAATGGGAAATTAAAACTAAACCTCTAAATAAATAAATAAATAAATAAATGATAAGGAGATAAATATAATTTAAATCAATGTAATAAATAAATAGCTAAAAACTAAAACTAAACCGAAACCTAACGAACTCAATAAATAGAAACAACCCCCCCGGGGCTGGAAAGGGCTCGGGGGGCGGGCGGGGCTCGGCGGCTCCTCCGGGGACCGAGCGAGATCAGATAAGGCCGGAGGCGCCGAACTCACTGAAAATTTAATCCCCGGGAGGGAGATCTCCTTACCCTGCTCCCGCCGCATTTGCATTCGCAGCCCCCGCGGGTGTCCCAGCCAGGCCGGGCAATGGGAATTGTCCTTTTTTCCCGATTTTTTTACTCTTTTCCATCTCCCGGAGCTGCAAGGCTCGGGGCTGGGAGCGGCTGCTGCTCCCTTGGGCAGCCCCTGGGATGGATTTCCCGGCGGGCAGAAATCCTGGGCCGATGTGATCCCAGAAACCACAGAAACCCTTGGGAACCCCAAATCCCACCCGGGACAGGCCCTGGCTCGGAGCTCGGGGGGATTTTTGGGTTTGGGGGGCTCAGTTTGGAAATCTGAGGCCTCAGAATGGGGAACTGGGGTGGTTTTAAATGATGAAATTATTTTTAGGGTCATGCTTTTCTTTGCATGGAAAACTTTAATTTTCAGGGTCTTTTCCTTCCCTCCCCTTCTCCTGGAAGAGGAACTGAGGTGGATAAAAAGCGTTTGCTCCTCAAGGCTCTGATTTCCTCCCACCTCTCCATGTGCTTCCTCCCAGCCCCCTGGGACACAAATCCCCCTTTTCCTGCAAGAAAAACCCCAAATTCGCCCCAAAATCCAGGCCAGGGCAGTGAAACCTGCCAGGGGATGCACCCAAACCCTAAAACCCTGCAGGGCAGCAATCCTGGGGGCTCCATCCCACACGGTGGGACAAACAAATGGGGAAAATCTGATTTGCAGCAGCAGAAACTCCTCGGTGGCAAAAGGGGAAGGGCAGGAAATGGGCCCAGCCCAGCCCTGGGGCTCAGAGAAAAAGCAGAAGGAGAAGAGAAATCGCGGAAGAGCTGACAAAGCTTTGGGTTTCCTGATGAGCTGTGGGAGTATTTTGGTAAAATCGGGTCAAATTCAGCAAAATTCAGCAAAATCCGGCACCAAACCTCCTCCCTCCATTCATCCTCCCACAGGAATAATCCAATTTATCCACCACAAGTGGTACCAGGAGGGGATTTTGCAGCTGGGTCAAGGGTTTGGGATAAACCCATGGGGTTTTGGGGCAGCAGCTGAGTGTGGGACCCCCAAATTTGGGGTTCCAGGTGTGAGGGGCACAAGGGGCATCCCCTGGTGGGGAAGGAAAAGCTCTGGGGAGGTTCAGGGGGGATTGAAGGACATGGCAGATGTGAAAATGGTGCCAAAAACACCAAAATGAGGGAGAAGGACCCTCCTGGAGCAGCAAAACAACAAAAGTGAGCGGGAAAACTCATCCTGGAGCAGCAAAATCACCAAAGGGAGTGAAAAGAACCCTCCTGGAGCAGCAAAATCACCAAAGATTGTGGAAAGACCTCTCCTAGAGCAGCAAAATCACCAAAAAGGATGGAATGAACCCGCCTGGAGCAGCAAAAACTCCAAAGGGAGTGAAAAAAACCTTCCTGGAGCAGCAAAATTACCAAAGTGAGTGGGGAAAAACCTTCCTAGAGAAGGAAAACCACAAAAGCGAGTGAAAAAACCTTCAGTTTTTCCGTAAAATCATCAAAGTGAGTGAAAATCCCCTCCTGGAGCAGCAGAGCCCAGGGTGGAGCCTTTGGTACCACTCGGAGCTTTTTTCCAGAGCATCCTGGGCCAATCCCAATTCCCAAAACCCCAAATCCCTCCAAGGGGACACGGGGATGAACTGGAGCCATAAGAAATCCCCGTTTTGGGGTGGGAAGGGGAGCTCCAGCGCGCAGGTTCATCCTCCCGTGCCGAGGAGTTTCCTGTTTACACCTCGGCCTCCTCCGTCATCACATCCCCTTCCTCTGCTGGGAATGGGGCAAATTCTTCCTTTTTTGGGGCTGCAGAGAGAACCGGGCTGGGGGCGGAGGGGAGAGACCGGGAACAACCCAGGACAGGCTGGGATAGCCCGGGACAGGCTGGGATAACATGGGAAAAACTGGGATAACCTGGGACAGGCTGGGATAACCCGGGACAGGCTGAGAATCACCCGGGACAGGCTGGGACAATCCGGGAGAGGCTGGGATAACCCAGGAAAAACTGGGAATCAGCCAGGAGAGGCTGGGATAACCAGGGACAGGCTGGGATAGCCCGGGACAGGCTGGGATAACATGGGAAAAACTGGGATAACCCGGGACAGGATGGGATATCATGGGAAAAACTGGGATAACCTGGGACAGGCTGGGATAACCCGGGACAGGCCGGGAATCACCCAAATCAAGGCGCTGGCCAAGTGGAAGTCGCTGCATTGCTCAACCCCGGCAGTTTGGGGCCGGCTCCGTTCCCGGCACCCCCGTGCCTCAGTTTCCCCCTCGGTTCCACCTTGCCCTGCCCGAGCCTCTCTTGGTGCTTTGAAAAGCGTTTTTAGCACAGCTCCGGGGCAAACCAGGGAGGGTTCCGGCCCTCTCTGCCTTCTCTTGTTCGGACTTGTTCCCCTCCCCAAAAACAACCCCCCAAAACCCCGTCCCGCATCCCCGCAGCCCAGCCCGGCCGCATCCACAGCCCCGCACAGCCCCTGCCCCGCTCTAGCACAACAAAACAAGGAAAAAAGTAGCCAAACCCCCCAAACCCGCGGTTTTACCAGGAGAGCGATGTTTTTTCCTGCTCCTGCAAAGAAATCTGCGGGTTTTGGGGTTTTTTCGCTGCCTCGGTCCCACCCCGCCCCGGCAGCATCCCCGGCTGGGGCGGGAGCGCGGATCGGGCGCAGCCGAGCATTGTGGGAATATCCCATCCCCGGAGAGGCCGCGATGCTCCCTCCCCGCCGCCGCTCCCGGCCCGAGGCCGCCCCGGTGCCCGAGCATCGCCCGCAGGCGGCGCCGGGCCCGGGCGGAGCGGGCACCGAGCCCGGCGCTCACCCCGGGGCGCGGATCTTGCGCTGGCCGCGGTTCCTGCGCTACTGCCGGGCCGGGATCTCTGCCCTCGGCCGCTCCATTGTTCCCAGCGCCGCTATTGTTCTGCGGCCCGGCCGCTCCGTCCTGCGGGAACGAACGGGGCAGGGAGGGAGCGCTCAGCGCCCGCGGAGGGGCCGCGCTCGGGGCTCGGGGCTCGGGGCCGGCGCGGCCGCGCTCGGGTGGAGCCTCGGGAGGAGCCGGGGCTGGGGCGGGCCCGGGACGGGACGGGACGGGACGGGACGGGAGGAGAAGGTGCCGAAGCCGGGCAGGGAGCGCGGAGCCCGCGGCTGCTCCAGCCCCGCTCGGGGGCGACGCTGGGGGGGCTGAGGTGACACCGGGGGTGGGGGACGGAGCCCGGAGATCCCGGAGATCCCGGAGGTTTCCCGTGAGCTCGCGGCTGCGGGGGGAGCGCGCTCAGCCCCGGGGCCGCTCCCGGCGCGGGGGACGGGGATGGGGATGGGGATAAGGATGAGGATGAGGGGGATGCCCCGTCCCGCCCGCACTCACCCGGAGCCGGTGCCGCTCCGCTCGCTCCGGTGCCCCCGGAGCCGCCCCTGGGCGGGGCGGGGCGGGGAGGGGCGCGGGCGGGGCCGGGGGTGGCAGCGCGGGGACACCCCCGTCCCTCCCCGGGGACAGCCCCGTCCCGCCCTCCATCCCTCCCTCCCGCAACCGGGGCCAGCCCGGAACCCGCATCCCGGAGCACATCCCGCATCCCGGATCCCTGCCCGGCCCCAGGGCTGGGCACCCCAAAGGATGGCACCCCCGGGAGCCGCGTTGTCCCCGCCCAAACATCCCGAGGGATGCTCCAGGAACGTCCCTGGGCAGGTTCTGCCTTCCCCAAGGACACCGCGGCTCCAGCACCTGATTCTCCATCCCTGCTGCCAAGGGCAGAGTCCCAAAGGACGCCCTGTCCCCACTGTCACAGCCAGGACCCCAAAAATGCAAAGCCCATTTCCAGTGTGAGGAACAGAATCCCAAAAATGCCCCATTCCCAACGTCAGGAACTGGATCCCAAAGGATTCCCCATTTCCAATGCAGGAACAGGATCCCAAAGGTTCCACATTCCCAGTGTCAGGAACTGGATCCCAAAAGTTTCCCCATTTCCAGTGTTAGGAACAGAATCCCAAAAATGCCCAATTCCCAATGTGAGGAACAGGATCCCAAAGGAATCCCCATTCTCAGTGTCAGGAACAGGATCCCAAAGGAATCCCCTTTCCTGATGGCCAGAACTGGATCCCAAAACATTCCCCATTCCCAATGTGAGGAACTGGATCCCAAGGGATTCTCCAACCCCACTGCCAAGACCAGAATCCCGAAGGAATCCCCATCCCACGCAGCCGGGCTGGAAATGCTCCCACAATCGGCTCCAGCTCTGTGCAGAATCCCCAGAGGGAATTCCTGGGCTGCATCCCCCAGGCTGGAGCAGTGTTTCTGCCCCAAAAAGCCCCAAATCCGGGGATATCCAGGGCCAGAGCCCAGCACAGAGCACACACACGCTTGGCTGCTCCCCTCGGCCTCGGGATCCCACCCGGATCCAAAACCGCCCCCGAGCTGGGATGGAGGAGGAGAGAAATTCAAATTAAATCCGCCTGGAGCAGCAGCTGCAGCACTGAGCGCGCCCAGGATCGGCGTCTCATCCTGCCCGTCCGGCCCCAGCACCCTGGGGACAGTTTGGGGGAATTTACAGAGAGTTTGGGGGTGTTTGGGGGGAATTTGGGGGTGTTTGGAGAGAGTTTGGGGGTGTTCAGTATTCCAGAGCAGCAGCAGCCGTGTCCCTCCTCCTTTGTCTGCCCCTGACCTTTCCCAGAGCTTCGTGGCTCCTCTGGGCTTTTTTTCTTTTGAAGGAATTTGCCTAGAAACAGCCCACATGAAAAGGAAAAAAAAAAAATAAAAAGCCCAAATAACCCCAAAACAAAGAAATAATCAAAGCAGCTGCTTGAGCCAAACAGGCAGCGCAGGCTGGAATGGGCCTTTTTCCCCAATTTTCTTGGATTTCTGTGTAAAATATGAGAAGTTCTGGCTCAGGGAAGGCCTGGCTCGGCGAAAGGGAGCGGGGCTGGGTCGGGATTGATATTCCAGCAGCATCTCCAGGGCTGGCAGGGATGGGAGGCCCTTTGTGGTGGGGACAGGGGACAATGGGGCCGGAATTGTCCCCAAACAGGGGGAGAGCTTCCCCTGGCCCTCAGCTCTGGGGGGGATGCAAAGAGAAAAATAGAAATGGAAATGGAAATACAGAAATAGAAATTGAAATGGAAATGGAAATATAGAAATAGAAATGGAACTAGAAATGGAAATAGAAATGGAAATGGAAATCAAGGGGTTTGGAGTGGGGACCTGTGGGAGCACAGGGGGATCTCGGCTGTGGAATTGGGGTTAAATCCTGATTTTTGCCATGTCCTGGAAGGAAGGAATCCCAGGAAGAACCCCAGGAATGGGGAGGGAACCCCAGGAAGGGGCAGGAATCAAAAGGAACAGGCAGGAAATCCCAGGAAGAATCCCAGGAACAGGCAGGAAATCCCAAGAAAGGGAAGGCTCTGGGTTGGGTCTCGCCATCATCACCTGGATTCTGAAATTAATAATCCATTAATCAATTAATCAATCACCCATCAGGAAAAAATGGATCAATTAGGGAGAAATCCTTCCCAACCCAAACCCAGGATTCTGTAATTGCACAATTCACCACCAAAGGAACAACCACTGCATCTATGCCCGCGTTTATTTATACTGAACAGCTTTAAAAATACAGAATAAAATAGCTTTATCTACTATTATTCACAACATCTGGTCCAAATATTACATTTTTAAATATTTAGTTGTTTAATGAAGCAATGTTAGGAAAAAAAAAAAAAAAAGAATAATAATAATAAAAAAAAAAATCCGTGAAAGAATTACACACCTCGGAACGAGAACAACAAAAAATAATCGAACAAAAAATAATCGAACAAAAAATAATCGAACAAAAAATCCACCCCCCCCCAAAAAAAAAAGTTTTACAGCCGAAGTCAGTCACGAAAAGTCATGGGAGAAATAAAAAATATTAAAAAAAAAAAAGGAAATTTATCCCCACCGCCTAAGAACAGTCAATAGTTTGTTATGCCAGAGGTTGTTCTGAACAGACAAACACGGGAATTATCGGGGCTGGCAGCACAGGGGGGGTCGGGAGGGCAGAGCCACCCTGGGGACGGCAGAGCCACCCTGGTGTCACCCAAACCCCAGCCAGGAGCACCCAGGGGCGGCTCCAAACCCATCCCAAATCTCAGCCCCCCCAAAACCCACAAACTGCACCCGGTGGGCTCTGCTGCCAAAAATGAGCGACCGGCCCCGCTCGGAACAGGAGAGAAAACGGGAGAAAAAGGAGAAAAAAGCGGATTTTGGTGGGAGGAAGGGGAAGTGGTGCTGGTCTCAGCCAGGCTGCTCAGCTGGGGGAGGCATCCAAGGCTCGGCCAAAGCAGCAGACTCGGGCTCTGCCACCGCCTGCAGCGCTGCTCGTACCCAAAACGCCGGGATCTGCACGATTTTTGGGGTGTCAGTGACCCAGTAGCGAGGGGTTTTCTCCAATTCTGCCCCCGGAGGGCTCAGCAGGGAGGAAACAACGAAAGGCTCCGGTTTTGGGTAGGAACGCAACGATGGGTAAATAAAGTATACACAACCACTATAGATTCGTCAATGAAGAAATTCTACCATCACATGACATTGTCATGACACTCATACCACTCCCTCCCAGGAAAACACCGCCGTTGTCCTGAGTGGAAATGTTATTTTCTTAATATATGGAAATAAAATACTGCAATATTCATGTACAAACCAAGTTGTCATATTTCAAGTCAGTATTAAAAGGCAATAAAAGCAAATTTGGGGTTGAAAAGGTTTGAGCTTTCTGAGCTAAGTCCCTCCAACATGACAACGTGAATCAGTCATAGCTGTCAGCTACGAAACCTAAATTTCTAGAGGCATAATTTGCAAGTATTTGCTTTAGAAAACGTGTTTCAACATGTCACCAAGAACCCTTAATCCAACCTAAAAAAAATACAAGAGAATATCAATTACAAAAAATCCCAAGTTACTTTGTTTGTATACACTGATGCCACCTCTGATATGACAAAATGAGATTTCTACCATGAATATTTGCCCTTCCCTCTCCAAATCTGACTGAAAATTCTCATCACCTCTTCGCTCACCTCTCAGCTGCCAACTCCCCTGGGTGCTCGGGGCTGGAAAAGGCAGGGAAGGGCAGGGAGGAAAATCCAGCATTGGCAGTCAGGTTGCACCTGGACACACAATTTGTGTTTAGTTCTCCCCAAACCTGCAGCTTCATCCTCTCCAGCCCTGCCAGAGCTTGGTACAGGCGCCTAAATCCTGGAATTCGGGATTTTAGTGCTCCCCAAACCTGCAGCTTCATCCTCTCCAGCCCTGCTCAGCACAGGCACCCAAATCCTGGAATTTGAGATTTTAATTCTCCCCAAACCTGCAGCTTCATCCTCATCCTCCACCTCTGCTCAGCACGGGCACCCAAATCCTGGAATTTGAGATTTTACTGCTCCCCAAACCTGCAGCTTCATCCTCATCCTCCACCTCTGCTCAGCACGGGCACCCAAATCCTGGAATTTGAGATTTTACTGCTCCCCAAACCTGCAGCTTCATCCTCTCCAGCCCTGCCAGAGCTTGGTACAGGCACCCAAATCCTGGAATTCGGGATTTTAGTGCTCCCCAAACCTGCAGCTTCATCCTCATCCTCCACCCCTGCTGGGGGATCTGGAATCTGCCCACACCCAAACCCTGTGCAGGCAGGCAGGGGAGCCCAACACCTCGCTCCCTGGGGAGGAAAACACTGAAAAATGAGCAGAAATGACTTTTGTTTTTTGTTTCACAGGCGAACCAACCTCGTCTACCACACGACGACTCCCGGGCAGCTCTGGGGCCCGAGCGACACCAGGGCTGCAAACTAGCGAGAGCTCCCCGAGGGAAGCAGGAACAAAGGCATGCTTGGGCACGGGGACAACGGGGGAAAACAGTTTCTGGCAACAGCCACGGCATGCTGAGAACGAGCTCCACGGAGCCGTTCCCACTCTACACTACCCAGCTCCGTCCTCGCCCTCCCCACCCCAACCCGTCCATGCTTCAAAAACCCACAACAAATTCCCCTGGGAGCAGGCTGAGGGAAAGCAGAGCTCCTGTGCTCCTGCCCAGCAGTCAAACGTGGATAAATAGATCAGGGGGTTACAGGACCTACTGGGATGGGTTTCCCAGGAATACAAAATGCAAGCACCGTAGAGCGTTACTGGCCTCGAAATTACATCACACGACATTTCCCTGATGATCTCCACAGCTGAAAATGCTTTTGGGGCCACACTGAAGAGTCTAAAACTAACTCGCAATAGTAAGAACATTAAACAGGAATAAAACTGTTAATCATGAATGCATGATGAGCGTGAACACCCACATAACAGCAGAGCTGAGACTACGCCAGGAAAAAGGAAAGGATTTCTGAGTGGTGCCCTGATTGGACCCGATACCCGTGAAGCCGTGGGTGGGTGAGGCTGCAGGTGCAGTGTCTCTGCTCTCCCAAAGCCCTTCCAGCAGCCAGCAGCCCCTGGAGAAGCCCCACCAGAGGAGGAGAGCCACCAGCAAAATAAAAAACCAAAACCCCGCTCGGAGCCCAGCGTGGCTTTCCCTGCAGGGAACAACTGTTAATTGCTTGGAGCTGCTCAGCTAATTAGCATCTGTGGCCGGGACACGTCCTGCTGGGCACAGGAATGCTGCGTGAGCCCAGCTTTGCCATCCCTGGTGGGGAAGGCAGAGGTGCAGAACTGAGAAATGCTGCCAGGAAAGGAAGGGGCTGCTGCAGACCGAGCCAGCCGCGGCTCCCAGAGGCAGAGCAATTCCAGAAAGTTCCTGTCTGAGCTCTGCTGTGTCACCGAACGCACAGAATGGAACTCTCTGAGCTGCCAGCATCAGCTGAGCCGTTTCCAGGGCACCGGCAATGTGCAATCACTGAGCAGCATCCGCGGCACCTGACGGGAGCTGAGGGAAATATTTCTCCTTTTCTCCCTTTTCCCCTCCCTCCTTCTCCAAGGTTCAGCTTTCCTGGCATAACCAACGCTGAGGGCTCCAATAAAACCACAATAAAAACCAAAAATTTGCAGCAGCACCTCCACAACTCCACCTAAACCCATTAAAAACCAACAGAATCATTAGGGGCACAGCTCTCTCCAAGTTCCCAACAGAATAATCAGGGGCACAGCTCTCTCCAAGTTACCAACAGAATAATCAGGGGCACAGCTCTCTCCAAGTCCCCAAAATCAGCAGGATTTGCCCCAGAGACACCAGACCTGGCTCCCAGCACCCACAGCAGGAAAAGCTTTTTTTTTTTTTTCTTTTTTCTCTTTTTTTTAAATCCGTCTCAGCTCTGGTTCCAGAATTTAAATGCAGATATACAAAACATATATTTTAATGCTTCTTAATCAGCAAGAAACTGCAAATACATCTCTGACTACAACTAGATAATATAATTTCAGCTAAGGCTATACTGTAGCTTCAGAGTCTTCATCTGAACTCCTGCAGCTGCTGCTTTTCCTGAAGCCTTTCCACGTGTAGCCCACGAAGGTGGGGCTGATGGGCAGGAAGCTGAAACACCTGTACTTTTTAATGAAGTTCATGCCAAAAGGCAGATCATAGGTTTCCATGCCATCCAGGGATTTGCTGCCTTTGCCAACCCCTTTCTTCCACTTCCGAATCCCCCTCTCCTCGGGGCTTCCTGGAAACCAGAATGAAAGGAGGAAAATGTGTTTATATTCATATGGATACCTTGGCACGGACACAAAGCTCTGGGAAGATGTTCCAGGCTCCTCAAAAAGGGAAAAAAATCACATTATCTGCTTTATTTTCTAACTGGAAGTCAATGCAAACTTTTCCTCTGGAATGGAAGCAGGTTTGGATCTCAAACCCAGTTTTACTGTGTCCCCTGGAGACTGGTTTGGTTTTATTCAGGTGTTTTACAGGGTGGGATTTTAACCGGAGGTGCTCTCAGGGAAGGGAGGGAGGGCAGGTAAGGACAATGCTCCTGCTGTGGGAGCAGCCACCCCAAAAGCAGGGATCTGGGGCTGGTGCTCTGCCCCAGGGAATGCTGCTTTTACCCTGGGAATTCTGATTTTACCCTGGGAATTCTGCTCTTTTTCCAGGGAATTCTGCCTTTCTCCAAGGAATTGTTTTTTGCTAGGGAACTCTGCTTATACCCAGGGAATGCTGCTTTTACCCAGGGAATTCTGCCTTTCCCCACGGATTTCTACTCTTTTTCCAGGGAATTCTGCCTTTCTCCAAGGAACTCTTGTTTTATCCAGGGAATTTTGCCATTTTCCAGGGATTTCTGCCTTTCTGCAAGGAATGCTGCCTTTTCTCAGGGAATTCTACCTTCTTTCCAGTGAATTCTAGTTTTTTTCCAGAGAATTCTGCCTTTCTCCAGGGAATTCTATCTTTTATCCAGGGAATTCTGCCTTTCTCCAGGGAATTCTGCTTTTCTCTGGGGAATTCTATTTTTTTTCCAGGGAATGCTGCTTTTACCCAGGGATTTCTGCCTTTCTCCAGGGAATGCTGTTTATACCCAGGCATTTCAGCCATTTTCCACGGATTTCTGCCTTTCTGCAGGAATTTCTGCCTTTCTGCAAGGAATTCTGCCATTTTCCCAAGGAATTCTGCCTGCCTGCAGGGAATGCTGTTTATACCCAGGGATTTCAGCCATTTTCCAGGGAATGCTGCTTTTACCCAGGAATTTCTGCCTTTCTCCAGGGAATGCTGTTTATACCCAGGGATTTCTGCCATTTTGAATGGATTTTTGCCTTTCTGCAGGGAATGCTGTTTATGCCCAGGGATTTCAGCCGTTTTCCAGGGAATGCTGTTTATGCCCAGGGGTTCCAGCCATTTTAAATGGATTTTTGCCCTTCCCCAGGGGATGCTGAGGGCTCCCACGAGTCAGGCTCACCTGGGATGGTGTTGTCCAGCACGAAGGCCACGCAGCCCCCGACGAACATGGCCGTGGTGAGCAGCACGTTCAGCACCTGATCAATGCCTGCAATTCCTGCAGCAACAGGGGAAAACCTGCTGGGATTTCATCCCCCACACCCCCTGAGTCCCCCCCAGCTCCCTGCTGGGCTCAGCGAGGGTTTGCTCACAAAGGGGGTGGATGCAGAGCCTTCCCCAGGCCACCAGCACGGGACATTGTTCCCCAAAAATGCAATTTTTCAGGAAGTGTCAGCTGCTCACAGAAATGTCACCAAGCACCGTTTCAGTTCCTACTGCAGGCACAGCTAATCTGAGCTAAGCAGGAAACCGTGGAGTGCAAAAGGGAAGCGTTCAGGCTGTAAAATTGTAATTTTTATATAATAAATCCTTTATAAATCTTTATTATAGTAATTACTTTAATAAATATTTTACAAATAACCCTTTCTACTTTTCAAAGGGGCAAGGATTCCCAGCCCCAGCTATGGAAGAATGCTGCATTAACCACATAAAGCTTGAGGGATCTGCTTTTCTAACCACTTACAGCAGGACAGATATGCCCTCAAATCCTGGGCTGAAGGCATAGTGGAAAGAAAAGTCAGTTAATATTTGGTTTAAAAGCCCCCAGACAAGCCCAAAGCAGTGAAATATTTCCTTTGAGCCCATGTCTGGTGACACACGCACTGTTTTCATGAGGGTCACATGAAAACAGAAAAGCTTCCCAGTGAACTCCTCAAAGCCACAATTCCCTTATCAGTCTGCAAAGGGAATTCACTAAAATTAAAATTAACACCCAGAACACGTCTGAGGGACGGAAAGTTTCAACCCCCAAACGATTCCCCACCTTCCAAACTCTGCCTTGGTGCTTCCCCTTAATTTTTAGCATCATTTTCAGCTCACATTCACCCTTTCAGTTTTTATTTCAGCCCAGTTGGTAACTGCACCCAGAGACAGCAGGAAAGCTCCAGCTGTGTCCCACTGGAACATTCCCTGCAGGTCTCAGACTCCCAAAGAATTCCCTGAACACACACAGAGCTTGTCTGCACCTACAGCCTTAACTGTGCATAATTTGGGGGGTTTTTCCTCCACAATTTGGGGTTTTCCCTCCACAATTTGGGGTTTTTCCTCCACAATTTGGGGATTTTTCCTCCACAATTTGGGTTTTTTTTCCTCCACAATTTGGGTTTTTTTTCCTCCACAATTTGGGGTTTTCCCTCCACAATTTGGGGTTTTTCCTCCACAATCTGGGGTTTTCCCCCATCATTTGGGGGTTTTCCTCCACAATTTGGGGTTCTCCCTCCACAATTTGGGTTTCTCCTCCCGCCCCCCTGTGCCTGATGGATTTTGCAGGTGAGCACGGGGCAGAAGGGCTGATGGAGGGGCAGGAACACGCACCTGTGACCAGGGGGTTCTGTTTCAGGTAGCTGGGGAGCACGAGCCCAAAGAAGATGGAAAATCCCAGCACGAAGAGGTTCCGAGAGGAATTGAGATCGATGAACTGCAGGTTGGACAGGCCCACGGCCGTGATCATCCCTGAACCACAGCAAAACAGCCCAAAAACAGCTTTCAGGTAACCCCTTTTCTTCACAAAACCCCCAAACCCAGCAAAATACCCCTGGAGATACCCCCCAGTGCATTTGGGTAATTTATCAGAAAAGTGCATGGGGTTTTCTTAATAGCACAGCAACTGCTTTTTCTTCTTTTTCCTTTTAATCTGTATTTTTAGAAATTAGCAAACCTGAGAATCAGTGCACCATGAAACCACAGTGCAACCAGAAAGAGAAGATTTGGGTAGATTATTAGGAAAGGAAGATTTTGGTAGATTATTAGGAAAGCAGTGTTACTCTTTCTCTGGGGATTTCCTCCTGTTAAGCAAGCCAGTAACACTGCTTTGCGTTTTATATATATTTATGTATATTTTATCTTTGTGATTTATATATTTATATATATTTTATATTTTATTTTTATATATAATGTTTTATTTATATCTATTTTACATGAAAAGATACATCTTTTTCACTACAAACCATGCCTGGAAGAGCACAGAGGTTCCTATTATCAAACAGGAGATAGAGAAGATTTTGGTAGATTATTAGGAAAGCAATGTTACTCCTTCCTCTGAGGATTTCCTTCTGTTAAGCAAGTCAGTAACATCGCTTTGTGTTTCATATATATTTCATGTTTGTGTTTTATATATATATATATAATTTTTGTGTTTTATATATATTTTATTTTTGTGATTTATATATATTTTTATACATATATATTTTATTATGTGTTTTATATATATTTATATATGTAATTTTTGTGTTTTATATATATTTTTATTTTTGTAATATATATTTTTTTATACATATATATTTTATGTTTGTGTTTTATATATATTTATGTATAGATATAATTTTTGTGGTTTATGTATATATTTCATGTTAGTGTTTTATATATATTTTTATACATTTAAATTTTATGTTTGTGTTTTATATATATTTTTATATATGTAATTTCTGTGTTTTATATATATTTTCTATTTTTGTGATTTATATATACTTTTATACATATATATTTTATGTTTGTGTTTTATATATATTTATACATATATAATTTTTGTGTTTTATATATATTTTATTTTTGTAATTTATATATACTTTTATACATATATACTTTATTATATGCTTTATATATATTTATATATATATAATTTTTGTGTTTTATATATATTTTATTTTTGTAATTTATATATACTTTTATACATATATACTTTATTATATGCTTTATATATATTTATATATATAATTTTTGTGTTTTATATATATTTTTGTACATATATATTTTATGTTTGTGTTTTATATATATTATATATAATTTTTGTTTTTATATATATTTATAGATATATAAATTTTTTGTGTTTTATATATATATTTTATTTTTGTGATTTATATATATTTTATACATATATATTTTATTATGTGCTTTATATATATATTAATATATTTTATTTCTGTGGTTTGTGTATATTTATGTTTTTATTTTTGTGTTATGTATATATTTATATGTATATTTTATGTTATATTTACATTTATATATATATTTTACATAAAAGGACCCACCCTTTCCATTCCACACCACGCCTGCAGGAGCACAGAGGTTCCCCCTACCAAACACTGCCCAGCAGAGCGGGCAGGCCAGGCCCTTACCAAAGAGGGTGCAGAAGAGGGCGCCCAGCACGGGGTCGGGCAGCGATGCGAAGAGCGCGCTGAACTTGCCCACCATGCCCAGCAGCAGCATGAAGGCAGCTCCGTACTGGATCACCCTGCGGCTGCCGACCTGCAGGGAAAGCACGGCACACGGGTCAGAGCTGCCCAGCCCAGCCTCACACCTGCCGCTGCCTTCGGCGGCTCAGGTTCCACTGCAGCTCGCTCCTGGCGCCTGGGTTAGGGTACTCGCAGGTGTAAATATATATATTATATGTACTGTAGTATATTTACTATAGTATATATTGTATATACTATATATACTATATATATTATATATCATGTATATAGTATATACTATATATTATATATACTGTATATATATAATATATATCGTATATATATATTGTATATACTATATATATTATATATATTATAATATATATTATATTATAGTATGCTATAAATATATTATACACTCTATATATTATATATATAGTATATACGATATCCTATACTATATATACATTATACTATATATATTATACTATATATACTATATTTTAAAATACTATACAATACTAAAGAATACAGAAAGGATACTTACAGAATGCTAAAAAGATAATCATGAAAACTCGTGACTCTTTCCAGAGTCTCAACACAGCTTAGCTCTGCTCAGGTTTCATTTCAGCTTATTCCTGGCTCCTGTGTTATTGTACTCACAGGTGTATATATATATATAAAATATATATATACAATATATATAGTATAGTATACTATATATATAATATATATAGTATAGTATACTATATATATATTATATACTATATAATATATATAGTATATAGTATATACTGTACTATATATACTATATCTATTATACTAAATATATATTATATATACTATAATATATTTTAAAATACTATACTATTCTAAAGAATAAGGAAATAATACTTACAGAATGCTAAAGAGATAATAATGAAAACTCGTAACTCTTTCCAAAGTCTAGACACAGCTTGGCTCTGTAGCCCAGGTTTCATTTCAGCTCATTCCTGGCTCCTCTGTTATTGTACTCGCAGGTGTGTATATATATATATATAAAATATATACTATAGTATATTTATTATCATATATATATATTATATATACTATATACATATTATACTATACTATATATATTACACTGTATTATACTATATATTATACTATATGATATATATATTATAGTATATATATTATATATGCTATAATATATTTAAAGACACTATACTATTCTAAAGAATACAGAAATAATACTTACTGAATGCTAAAAAGATAATAATGAAAACTCAAACTTGGGACTCTTTCCAGAGTCTCAACATAGCTTGGTTCTGCTGCTCAGGTTTCATTTCAGCTCATTCCTGGCTCCTGTGTTATTGCACTCGCAGGTGTGTATATATATACTATATATACTATAGTATGTATGTTATAGTGTATATATATATAAAATAGTCTGTATATATATTATATACACACTATATAGTATATACCATATACTATATATTATATAGTATATATAATATATATATTACACTCCACTTTATATATATTATATTGTACTATACTATATATATTATAGTGTGTATATATATATATATAATATATATACTATAATATATTTAAAAATACTATACTATACTAAAGAATACAGAAATAATACTTATTGAATGCTAAAAAGATAATTATGAAAATCTGGGACTCTTTCCAGAGTCCTGACACAGCTTGGCCAATGAGGCAAAACAACTCACAGCAGAAACAAACAAAACAATCACCTGTGGCTAAACAATCTCCAAACACAGGAGAAGCAAATGAGATAAGGATTGTTCTCCTTTTCTCTGAGGCTTCTCAGCTTCCCAGGAGAAAGCACTTTTCAGGGAATGTGAATATGACACTGAGAGTGTTTTGTTTTGGTGCTGGAGCCACAGCTGCTGTGCAGCCAAGCTTGGCCTCCCCAGGCCAGCCCTAAAACCATCTGGAACTGCCTCAGTCACCAGGAAAGCTGGTGGAACCCAGCCAGGGGACAGAAAGCAAAATGGAAGTGGAAATATATCAAGTAAATCCTGTGTGCTGCTGCCCTGGGACACTGGAACAGATGAAACAGTTTGTGGGAAGGAGGGGCAGGATTTTCAGGCTTAGGTCAGCCCAAGCTCAGAGAGCAGGGCTGAATGCAAATCAGGGCTGTGCTAACACTGAAACCAAGGGCCTGCACTTCCTTCCCAGTTTTATTTTAAGCACCCAAGATTCAAGCAGGCTCTCTGTGGTGCAGGGGTAGAGGATAAACCTGAAGTTGGTATTTCAACACCTTCCACTGCCACAAAAGGTGCCCCAGGAACAACAAAAACTCCTTTACATTGAGGTGGTTTCTAGAAAAGCCCTTTGCAGGTCCCCTGGTGCAGAGCAGCAGGGTTCAAAAAGGAAATATTCATTTGTTCATCGTGTGTGACTGAGCTGAATGAGACAAATGGGAAACTACAGATCCAAGAGGTCTGGGGAGGGGAAAATCCTTCCTTGCCCCCATTCCTCACTGCTGAGCTCCAGGTGAGCTCCCTCCCCTGCAAACAGAGCTCTGCTGCACCCTAACTGGAATTACAACAGAATTTAGCTGGCACCTTTCTCTGCTCTTTACAGAAATACTCATTTCTGCAGGGCCAATGAGATCCTGCCCTAAAATTCTCTTCCTGCCAGAAACAGGCAAATCCTCTGAAAAGCTGCATGACAGTGACATTTATTTATGCAAACAAATTAAAGCTACTGAAAACATCCCAGGCAGCATTCAGCTCAGCTCTGGATTTATTCCCAGCACACACACACTCATTTTGGAGTGATTATTTTGGAGTGCATCAAATGGTACCTGGAGCCTCCAGTTCAGCATCACCACCCTGGCAGCAGCTGCTTTAGCCCCAGTTAATCAGAGCTAATTGATCTTGCTCTCATCAAGTAAAACACACAAAGCTCGAAGGCTCTGCAGCCCCTCCATCCAGCAGGATTTAAATTTAAGTGCAATTACACGCTGATTTCAAGGCAGGGAAAAGCCCTGGTGATGCAGCACTGGAGGTTTCCTCTCCCAAATCAACAGCAGAGCATCTCTGTGCCAAAATTCTGTGCCAAAATTCTACCTGGAGCTGAGGAACTGCTGGATTTTGGGGAATGAAAGTGCAGAAAGGGAACAAGAGCACAGCCTGGGCAGCTCCACTCCCTGCCACAGCTGCCACTTCAGCTTTCCACTGCCCCAGCACGAAATGCACGCTCATTTCTGTGGGCTGCTCACAAAACAAACTGCTGTTAATTCATCTCAACCCCCACGAAGTAACAATGGGAAGGCAGCAGAACAGAATAAACCTTTCTTTAAGGGTTTTTTGTGAGCACAACTTCTCTCCTAGGAGATTTCCATCAGCTGGGAGGTGGATGGTACAGACAGCAGATGGTGCTGTAAGTGCTGAATTGCACCCCAAAGCAGCAGAATCACCCTTTGTGCAGCACAAGGGAGGGCTGAGGACAAACACATCATTTATGTGTGATCAGATAATTTTCCATCCTTGCACGTAGGATTTATGGCTCCCACGTTCAACGCCCAGCAAGGTGGAACTATGTACAACATAAATCACTCTTGGTGTTCCCTACCAAGGTTAAATTAACATTATCAGGCAGATTTCTGTGCAGCCAAGGCCTCCCAGCTCAGCCAGGCACAGACCCAGCCCCACACAAGAGCAGAGGAGCTCCTCAAGCACTCACACATTTTATTGAGCAGCATCACCAGAAATACACAAACCCCCGAGCCTTAAACCAAATATTGAGGGTCCTTTTAGCCCTGAAATGACCTTGGCCCAGTACAGACTCAGGTAAAGCCCGAGCACCTCACGTTGCATTTCAGTGTGTATGAGGCACTAAAAAGTCACTTCCTGCTGATGCTTTCCGAGCAAGATACCCAAAAATCAGCAATTTCTACACAGTTTAGTGTTTATGCCTCAACTCAAACACCCCAGAGCCCTGGAATGCTGCCTGGCTTTTCCAAGAGCAGTTTATGCAGCAGCATCTGCTTTATGGGGATTCTACCTGCATTTTAGTCCGGATAAAGGGATTTTTGAGGTCCTGATGTACAATAATGCATTTCCCTCAGACAAGAGCTGGTACAGACACTCAGAATGGTCTGGGAAGTTTGTGTGCACAGGGATGGAGCAGAATGGGCTCCTGGAAGAGGACTATGAACACAAGGAACCCCCGAGGGCTCAGAGCAATGCACTTCTCACCTTTGTGATGCCCAGGACCCCAATGTTGGGGCTGGAGGAGGTGGATCCATTCCCTGTCCCAAACACTCCATCCAGAACACAGGAGAGCCCCTCGATGAAAATCCCCCTGGAAATCCCAAAGAGAACACAAGAGTTGGTACAGGCACCATTCACTGGGGTGCTCCTGAGGGCCACAGGGGCATCTGCCCCACATGGAATCACTGAAACTCATGGTTCAGGCTCCAGCACCCCTGGGAAACACTCTGGAGTTCTGCTTCCTGAGCCTCAGATCCCCACATCCTTAAACTGAGGAAATGATATTAAAAATTCAGATAAAACTTCAGAGCTGCTCTGTTTCTAAACTGCATTCTAGTTGAGTCTTAGATCCCCCATTCTTAAAGTGAGAAAGTTTTATTAAAAATTCAGATAAAACTTCAGAGCTGCTCTGTTTCTAAACTGCATGCTAGGTGAGTCTTAGATCCCACATTCTTAAACTGAGGAAATTATATTAAAATTCAAATAAAACTTTAGAGCTGCTGTCTCTAAACTGCATTCTGGGCGATTTTGACAACCCCAATTCCAGAACCAGTTTAGAGCTCTTTCCCTGTGGAAATTGTGCTGGTAACTTCCACAGACTCCAGCAGGAACGGGACTGGGATTGAAACGTGACAGAACAACCCCAGATGCCATTTCCACCCTGGATTTCAGATCCTTGGTCCTTGAGGACCACAGCGACCAAAACGCAGCGTGACCAAAACGCAACATTTCACCCCAGAGTACATCCCTGCTTATCCAAAAGGGGAAAAAACCCAAAAAGCCCCAAGAGGCTGAGCCAGAGGAGGTGCTTGGGGCCGGGACAGACCTGTTGATGGCGTGGATGGGAGGAGGAGGAGCACAGGAGAGCCTGGCACACGCGTAGTAGTCGCCGATGGACTCGATGATGCTGGCCACCACGGCGCTGAGCATGCCGATCACTCCCGCTGCAGAGATGGTGGGCAGCCCCCACTGGACTGTGGAGAGAGCAGAACTGAAACATTCCTGCCCCAGAAATGGGATTCAGGACACCCTCTGGCTGCCCTGTGTGGTGGGGATCGCAGGGGTCAGGATGAGGGAAGAGATGGGAGTGCTGACTCCATGTTCTGAAGGCTGATTTATTGTTTTACGATATATATTACATTAAAACTATACTAAAGGAATAGAAGAAAGGATTTCATCAGAAGGCCGGCTAAGAGAACAAAAGAGCTCTGACTCCTCCTTTGAGCACCAGGCTGGGAAAAGAGACTTTCTAACACATCTTGGGGTCACTGTGAGCAGCTGAGATCCCAGCACACAGCCTGGCTACCAAACACACACAAACCTGGGGGAACCGTGCAGTGCTTTGGGCTGGGAAGGGCTTTTGGGATCCCCCAGCACTGCCCAGGTCACTGCTGGCCGTGTCCCCAAGTGCCACATCCACCCTGCTGCTCAATCCCCCAGGGATGAGCTCCAGCACTGCAACAGGGCTGGGCAAGAAATACTCACCAAAACCCACCCTGAGCACGGCCTGGGGCTGTTCCCTCTCCTCCTGTCCCTTAACCCCATTTGGGCTAAGATCCAAAATCCCCCTGGCTGTCTCCTCCTGTCAGGGAGTTGTGCAGAGCCAGAACTTCCCCTGATCCCATTCTCTCCTCCTGAGCCCCTTCCCAGCTCCATTCCCTGCCCTGGACAGGCTCCAGCCCCTCCATGTCCTTGTCCTGAGGGCCCAGAGGTGACCCTGGCATTGAGGGGGGCCCTCCCCAGTGCCCAGCACTGTTTATTTATCTTTGATGGGAACAACAAACCCCCCTGACTCTAACACAGCCTGGCAAGTTCAAGGAGATGAAAGGAGCAAAGGAACAATTGCTGAACCAACTGCTTTGATCACACTTGGAAAAATCCCAGGGAATCATAAAACCTCACTAAAAAAAATTCCTCCTGTTCAGGAATCAGGAATTTGAGCTACAGCTTGTGAGAAAACAATCCTGGCCAGTGAGGCAAATGCCACTGTATTATTATGGCTCCAAAAAGTCCCTTTGGTGACAAGCTTAGTCGACCAGAGAGGATGGCAACAACCAGCTCTGATCACTGCACAAACACCCCCCAGCTCCAAATTTTTGTAGTAGAGAAAATAAGATTAATTTAAGCCTGCAGAAAAGCCTGGCAGGTTTTCCACAGCAATTGCCTCGATACTTTTATCTCTTTGAAAGAGATGAGCCTCCTGCAACAAAGGGATCTTCAGTCACACAGGAGTGAATGAACCTCACAAACACAAATGGGCTGATCAGGGTGGAGAAGTTTTCCTCCTCTCCTTTCCCAAAAGCTTCCATTCCTCATCTGCTGTTTTGGAAGTGGTTTCTTTTAAGAACCAAAGCATATGGGAAACCACAACGGAGCTGCCTCATCACAGTGTGGTGGCACAGCTGATAATTCCTGATTTCTATTCTAAAATAAGTAATATTATTCTGTAATTACCCTGTTAACTTCTGAAGGGTGAGCCAGTTGTGCAATCCCACACCATAAACCCAGCCTTCAACAGCTTTAAACTCAGAGCTGGCCAACACAAAATTACATCCAAAACGCTGTGTGAAGTGTCTGGTGCTCTGATAAGCAGGGCCTGGCACTCCCTGACTTGCCCGTGCCAGCAGTGCCTTGGCATGTCAGGGCATTGTCCTGCCATGAACAGCTGTGCTCACCCTCAATGGGTGTGTTTGGGGCAGGGAAGGCAGCAGGCTGGCAGAAACTCCCCACAGGAGTGATTCTTCAGACAATGAGAGCCAGGGAGGGCAGCAGAGCTGTGCAAACCTGTCCCTGGCACTGTGCAGCCTTATCAGCACTGCCAAGGACTGATAAATCAGCCAGCCCTGATCTCCACGTTAGAGGGGCAGTCACTTTTATCAGGAGAGGCACCCAGACCAACCCTGCAAAGTGCAGCCACAGAACCTCAGCCCTGCTGAGCTCTGGGGAGCCAGGGCTGTGGAATAAAGCACGGAGAAGCAGCAGAGCTCTGGAACAGGAGCAATGGCACTGCTGGGTTCTGGGGAACCAGAGGAAGGACTCTGCTGAGCTCCTGGGGAATCAAAGCTAAGGAATAAACCCCAGACAGAGCCAGCAGAACCCTGGAGCAGCAGCAATGGCCCTACTGGGTTCTGAGGAACCAGAGGAACGACCCTGCTGGGTTCTGGGCCACCAGGGCTAAGGAATAAACCCCAGAAAGAGCCAGAAGAGCTCTGGAACAGCAGCCATGACCCTGCTGGGTTCTGGGGAGCCAGGGCTGTGGAATAAACCCCAGACAGAGGCAGCAGGACCCTGGAGCAGCAGCAATGACCCTGCTGGCCCCAGGAGCACACACTTACAGGGGTAAGACACCCTGAACAGCACATTTACAGGGGTAGGGCACCTTGAACAGCACACACTTACATGGGTAGGGCACCCCAAACTATCACACTTACAGGGGTACGGCACCCCAAACCAGCTCACTTACACGGGTAGGGCACCTTGAACCATGGTGCCACCAGCAGCACTGGCCCCAGGAGCACACACTTATAGGGGTAGGGCACCCCAAACCATCACACTTACACGGGTAGGGCACCCCAAACCATCACACTTACAGGGGTAGGGCACCCCAAACCATCACACTTACACAGGTAAGGCACCCCAAACCAGCTCACTTACACGGGTAGGGCACCCCAAACCATCACACTTACACGGGTAGGGCACCCCAAACCAGCTCACTTACACAGGTAGGGCACCCCAAACCATCACACTTACACGGGTAGGGCACCCCAAACCATCACACTTACACGGGTAGGGCACCCCAAACCATCACACTTACAGGGGTAGGGCACCCCAAACCATCACACTTACACGGGTAGGGCACCCCAAACCAGCTCACTTACAGGCGTAGGGCACCCCAAACCATCACACTTACACGGGTAGGGCACCCCAAACCAGCTCACTTACACGGGTAGGGCACCCCAAACCAGCTCACTTACAGGGGTAGGGCACCCCAAACCATCACACTTACATGGGTAGGGCACCCCAAACCATCACACTTACAGGGGTAGGGCACCCCAAACCATCACACTTACACGGGTAGGGCACCCCAAACCAGCTCACTTACAGGGGTAGGGCACCCCAAACCAGCTCACTTACACGGGTAGGGCACCCCAAACCATCACACTTACACGGGTAGGGCACCCCAAACCATCACACTTACACGGGTAGGGCACCCCAAACCATCACACTTACACGGGTAGGGCACCCCAAACCATCACACTTACAGGGGTAGGGCACCCCAAACCATCACACTTACACGGGTAGGGCACCCCAAACCAGCTCACTTACACGGGTAGGGCACCCCAAACCATCACACTTACACAGGCAGGGCACCCCAAACCAGCTCACTTACATGGGTAGGGCACCCCAAACCATCACACTTACACGGGTAGGGCACCCCAAACCATCACACTTACAGGGGTAGGGCACCCCAAACCATCACACTTACACGGGTAGGGCACCCCAAACCATCACACTTACACAGGTAGGGCACCCCAAACCAGCTCACTTACACGGGTAGGGCACCCCAAACCATCACACTTACAGGGGTAGGGCACCTTGAACCACGGCGCCACCAGCAGCACGCCGCGCCGCGCGTCCGTGCGCGCGTAGAATCCGTACTTGGAGCTGTCCGGGGGGAACACGTCGGTCACCGTGAAGATGAAGCACAGCAGCCACGACACCAGGATGGCCAGGATGATCTGGGGACACCAGCACAGCGGGCACTGAGACCACAGCTGCCTCTCAGGGGGTGCTGAACAGCCCTGAGCCCGAGCTGGGGGAGATGGGTCTGTGGGGAGCTTTGGGGGCTGGACGGGAGGCTTGTATGGCAGGGATTTGTACAGAAATGACATGCTATATATAGATATTGTATGGATTTCGATGGAAAAGACAAGCTACGTACAGATATTGTATGAATTTGTATGGAAAAGACAGGCTATATAAAGATATTGTATGAATTTGTATGTAAAATACATACTATATATACTGTATGTATTCACATGTAAAATATATATAGATACTGTATGTATTCACATGTAAAATACATACTATATATAAATATTGTATGTAAAATACATACTATATATAGATACTGTATGGATTCACATGTAAAATACATATATATAGATACTGTATGCATTTGTATGTAAAATACTACTATATATAGATATTGTGTGTAAAATACATACTATATATAGATACTGTATGTATTCATATGCAAAATACATATTATATATAGATACTGTATGGATTTGTATGTAAAATACCTACTATATATAGATATATATAGATATTGTATATAAATAGTATGTAAAAGACATTATATATATATACACTACATGTAAATAGTATGCAAAATACATACATATACAGGTATACATACTGTATGCAAATAGTATGTAAAATACTAGATATAGATTATGTATTTGTGTGTAAAATACATATTATGTATAGATACTGTATGTATTAATATGTAAAATACATACTATATATAGATATTGTATATAAATAGTATGTAAAAGACATTATATATATATATACACTACATGTAAATAGTATGTAAAATAGCATATACAGGTATACATACTGTATGCAAATAGTATGTAAAATACTATATATAGATTATGTATTTGTATGTAAAATACATATTATGTATAGATACTGCATGTATATATTACATAAAATACACACCATATATACTGTATGTAAATAGTGTGTAAAATGCATACTATATATTATACATACTATACATACTTTGAGATAAATGTTGATTTAGAAATGTTATGGAACAGGATAGTTGTTGTTGAGAAATGCAGTTGGAATGAAGTTTTAAAGGATGGTTTTGTAAATAATATTAGATATTTTTGAGAACTAGAATTATGAAAGATGTATTGCAGTAGGATTTATGAGGGGTAGTTTTAGATGATTGGTTTTGAGGTATTTATAGTGCAGTGTGGTAAAAAGTTGATAGGTTAAGAAATGTTTGTAGTGTTTTGTCTAGTTTGTTGGACAATACCCTTTTCCTAACCCAAAAATAAAATAACTAAAAACCATTTTCCCTGTGTGCACAAACATCCCTTCCCCTCTGCCCTCCCCTCCCCACCACTCCCACAGCTCCTCAGCACAGGCCACAAAATCTGAACATTTCCTGTGGCCCATAATCCATTACATTTCCAATAAATCCATTTAAGATTTATCTCACCCTTTGTGAGTATTCTATCGTGAAGAAAAATCAAAACCAACAACACCCTCCCCCCCAAAAAAACCCAGAAATTATTTATTTTTGCCTAAGGAAGAACAAGTTCAACGACTTACAGGGAACATCTTGAAAAGCTGCAGCCGGTATGCTGTCCATCCTTTCTTGGATTTATAAATGGGCAAGGGAAATTTGACATTTCTGGCATACTGGGAGAACAACAGCACTAGGAAAATAGTCCTGAGGAAAAAAGGAGGATGAGGAGGGTGGGACAAGAGAGGAATGTCATTAGCACCAATATTTCGTAAATTCTTTTCAGCACAAACCTCTTCAGACCCTTTGCACGCAGAACTTCAATTTCAGCAGAAGACAAGGCAGCAAAAGGATTAAAATTTTTATTCCTCAAATGCCAAATTTGAATTCTGAAGAGCTGCAAAACTCGGCAGCTGCAAGGAGATAAAGGGATCAGGGGCAGGCCCAGACTGAAGGGGGATTTTCAGTTAAAATTCCTCAAATGCCCCTTCTGTCCTCCCAAACTCCACCTGTGGTCCAGGGCTGTCTGTAAAACACAAAACAAAACTTGCTGCCAGCACCTGGCAAGGAACAGGGAAACTGCGGAAACTGGAGGGCTGTGGGCAGGAATTTTTACATTTCAAAATTTGCATCCAACTCCAAAGCCCTTGGGAAAATTTCTGTCAGGGAAATTTTTTCTTTTATTCAGAATTTTTTTTTTTTAATGAATCTTTCACTAAATAGCTGCAAATGAAGCAGAATGGAGCCCAAGCCCCAAGATTTGCTGCCAGAGCAGTCCATCAGTATTAGATATCTTAATTATTATTCATTTCCCCCATCAATTAAACTGCCAAGCTCCTCTAGACATTAAAAATTATTTTTACAGATAACAAATCAGAATTCGGGGCACGTTGCTCAATCCTGAAGGAGCAATTCTCAATTCTCCACCCAGCTCTGCTCTGCAAGGGCCTCCCAAAGGCTGGAGCTGTCTGAAGGAGCAAAGCTCTGCTGAAATCTGAGATTATGTTTTTATCAGCTGACTTGAAAAATAAAGAGAGGATTTTCAGCCTCTCCTCTGCCCCGGACCAGACACAAACCAGTTCTCCTCTCCCTCAGCCTCCAGGAAAAGGAGGGGCCCTCACAGCCCTCAGCAGGGCAGGAGAAAAGCAGAATATCCATCTGTTCCATGCAGGAAACCCCAGAATCTCCCCAAAACCCACCATGGGCTCTCCCTTCCCTCCCACACCAGCCCTGAGGACGGGGAGCTTTGGGTTTGATTTAGCACAGAGCTGTAAAAAAATACAATATTCAATTATTGCAATGAATTTTCCATTGGCTGCACGGCAGAGGGGCTGTGAAACAGCACCAAAGCCTTGAGTGCCCCAGGAAAATCTGGATAAACAGGCAAATCAGGAATAACTATTTTTATAAATGCCAATGCAAATGTCTGATAAAGGGAATAAAGCAGCCATGGAACAAGCCAGGTCAGGAAATTGGGGAATTGGGAATCCTGCAGCTCCCAGAGGCCCCCAGGTAATTCTGAAGGGCCAGGGAGAAATTCAGGACCTTGATATCCCCAGAATATCCAGGATAATTCCAGGAGCCACATCCCACAGAGCTGGAGCCACTCCTGAGTGGCTCCCACAGCTGTGCAGCTGATTCCATCAATCCCCTGCACATTTCTGCAGAAGCCAGAAATACTTTATTGACTGGCTAGCATTTAAATCCTGCTCCTGAATTGATTTTTTTTTCCAATCTGCAAAAACGTCAACTTTAATTACACATTTCCATGTCCAATTCAAAGACGTGCTTGATTCATTTTCGTGTTAGCCTCAACTTGCAGAGAAATTTGTTTTACAGACAAATAAAACGTTCCTTTGGATCAGCTGCCTAACACAATAAAATCACAAAAATACTCCTGATGCCAACATGCAAGACAAAACAGAATTAAAGGGCCCTTTTAATCATAAGCTGCACTTACAGAATACTTTACATGTTCAAAGCACTGTGCGAACAGATTAGTGAGATCACAACCTGATCTCAGCAAGGCATTCCTCTGCTCCCAGAGCCAGCACAGCTGGGAGCTGCAGCTCTGTTCTCCCAAAAATGGGGTTTCAATGGAGCTGTTTCAGCTCTGTTCTCCCAAAAATGGGGTTTCAGTGGAGCTGTTTCAGCTCTGTTCTCCCAAAAATGGGATTTCAATGGAGCTGTTTCTCTGTTCTCCCAAAATTGGGGTTTCAATAGAACTGTTTCAGCTTCTTTTCTCCCCAAAATGGGGTTTCAATAGAACTGTTTCAGCCCCTTTTCTCCCCAAAATGGGGTTTCAATAGAACTGTTTCAGCCCCTTTTCTCCCTAAAATGGGGTTTCAATAGAACTGTTTCAGCCCCTTTTCTCCCTAAAATGGGGTTTCACGTGGAGGAGCTTCAGCTCTTCTCTCCCCAAAATAAGGTTTCAATGGAGCTGCTTCACTCTCTGTTCTCCCTAAAATGGGGTTTCACATGGAACTGTTTCAGCCTTTCTCCCTAAAATGGGGTTTCACATGGAGGAGCTTCTACTCTTCTCTCCCTAAAATGGGATTTCAATGGAGCTGTTTCAGCATCCTCTCTCCCTAAAATGAGGTTTTAATGGAGCTGTTTCAGCCTCTTTCCTCCCCACAATGGGGTTCCCAGCCTCATTTGCTGCTTACCCACTCAGGGAGCTTTTCTCTTGATTTTATTTCCCTGACTTATTCCCTTTCATTCCTTCATTTCCCTGCCCCTACAGCTGATGGCACACAGGTCCCAGGCCCTGGAATTCCCTCTAAAAGCCTTTTTGTCCCCTGGCAGGGATCTCTGCTCATGGCTCAGCCTCTGGAGAGGTTCATGGCAACACCTGTGCCCTCTGCCATCACACACACATGAATTTCTCTTGGGAACAGGAAAGCAGAGGGAGCAGCACCACCGGTGGGGTTTATGTGCTGCTGCAGCAGAGGAACCAGCAATGCCAGCCCAGAAACACAAATTGTTCACTGATTTCATCCCTCTGGTGTTCTGTTAAATCACCTTTCCTACAGCACTGAACTCCACCCAGCCAGTGGCTCCTGCTTTATAAAGTTCTGCTCTCCACACCTCATTTTTGGCCACTGTCCTCTCCTCTCTCCTCGAGCTCACGTTATCATGGAATGGTTTGGGTTGGAAGGAACCTTAAAGCCCATCCAGGCCCATGAAGGAGCCATGGGCAGGGACACCTTTCACTGCCCCAGGGTGCTCCAAGCCCTGCCCAGCCTGGCCTTGGGCACTGCCAGGGGCAGCCACAGCTGCTCTGGGGCCTCCCCACCCTCCCAGGGAAGGATTTCCTCACAGGGAAGAGCTCCAGGCAACTGCCCTGAGCTGCTCTGTCCTGATTCCCACACTTCTGGATGAGCTGACCTCATTCAGACTCTGCGTGTTCCTCATGGTGTTTGTGTCTCGTGCTGTTTGTTTCTCATGGTGTTTGTTTCTTACAGTGTGGGTTTCTCATGGTGTTTGTGTCTCGTGGTGGGTGTTTCTCAGGGTGCTTGGTTCTCCTCATGGTGTTTGTCTCCCATGTGTTTGGTTCCCATGGTGTTTCTCATGTGTGTTTCCCATGGTGTTTGGTTCTCATGGTGTTTCTTGCGGTGTTTTGTTCTCATGGTGTTTCTTATGTGTTTCTCCTCATGGTGTGTTTCTCAAGGTGTGTGTTTCTCATGCTGTTTGGTTCTCATGGTGCTTGTTTCTCAAGGTGTTTGGGTCTCATGGTGCTTGTTTCTCATGATGTTTGTTTCCCATGGTGTTTCTTGTGGAGTTTTGTTCTCATGGTGTTTCTTCTCATTGTGTTTGGTTCTCATGGTGTTTGGTTCTCCTCATGGTGTTTCTCATGTGTGTTTCTCCTCATGGTGTATTTGGTTCTCATGGTGTTTGGTTCTCCTCATGGTGTTTGTTATGTGTGTTTCTCATGGTGTTTCTCCTCATGGTGTTTGGTTCTCACAGTGCGTGTTTCTCATGGTGTTTCTCACAGTGTGTGTTTCTCATGGTGTTTCTCGCAGTGTTTGGTTCCCATGGTGTTTCTCACGGTGTTTGTTTCTCCTCATGTTGTTTCTCCACACCATCACAGCGCAGCCGCCCCCAGCTCTCCCCCAGCACCCCAAACCCCGCGTGCCCAGCAGGAACCCCGGGGGTGTACTCACAGCATGGCGATGCCCCAGTGCTTGCCAGCTCTCTCCCCTGCAGCCTGGAAGCCCGAGAGGCCGATGAGGGCCACGGTGGGGGTGATGGTCAGCGGCCCGATGTAGCGCAGCAGGGCCCCGGGCAGCCCCAGCAGCCCGATCACCACCTCGATCAGCGAGGACATGATGATGGCACCTTGGATCTGAACACACAACAGGGCAGAGAGCCAGCTCAGTGCCACCTGACAGCCACAGCCAAGCGCCTTTTGTTTTTCTGCTCTGGATTACAAACTGCAGTTAAAAGAATTCAGTGACACAGAAGAACTCAGCACATTTTTTTTTTTTTTTTTCCCGTCATAAAACAGCTCATTATGTTTACGTGACTTATCGCTTTAAGCATAACACTTATGGTTTTCTCCACAAAACTATTACACAACAGACCAGTGGGCCAGTCTGGAAGCTGTGTGGAAAGCACATCACACTGTCAGACAGGAGACCTGGGGTCCAGGCTAACCTTTAAGCTCTCAGATCGAACGGCAAGGGTTGGTGCGCCACGAGGTGATGCTCCTAGCTCCTAGGGGCAGAGTGTGTGCTGCATTGGTCACAAGTGCTCCTTAGAAGCTGGATTAGAGCAGCGTTGTGGTCTCAGGAGACTGTCAGCCCTCTTGGCTGCAGGGCTCTTGGCAGGATGTAGCTATGGTTTGAACATGGGGAAGAGAGAGGGGTTGTTTTTAATTAAGAAAAAGTCGGCAGCCCAAAGCAACGGGATGGGAGATCAATTCCATGACACACGCCTTCATTTGGACTACTCTACCTGCCACCCTGGCGTGGCACAGCCCTCAGCCTGCCCTGCAGGGCACCACGACCTCACACTGCAGTGCTGCGGGTGGAGAAGGAGCTGCAGGTATCTCACAAGTCTTTGGGGGAGAATCGACCTCTTATCACAAGAGTCTCCAACTTAAACACTTGGGAAGGAACCAGATTTCCTAAGTGCAGATTCAGCAGCCCCAGTGCACAGGGACAGCAGCAAGGGGCCTGGCAGCAGCTGGACTGCTGCACAAATCAAGGCTACAAGAAGAGCTTTCGTCTCTCTCGAGCATTTCACTGCACGGCTTTTGGGATGTGGTAACTAACTCCTGGTATTTGCTGTCCAGCAATGAGCAGGTGGAAAAGATGAAGACTTCCATGAAATGAGCAAAGGGATATATTCACATGGAGATCGCAGTGAAACAAGAAATCACCAACTTAAAGACAAGAACACACAGATGATAAAGTGAGGAACTTAACTGGAGCTGGAGAGAGTGACAGCAAAAGGCAAGTCCCACATTACCTCTCGTATCCGGGGGTACCAGATGTGCTCGGTGTGCAGCAGCTCTGCCGTTCCGTTTGCAACTGTTACATCTTCCAGAGAGACAAAAAACAGGGGCTTCTTTTATTGCCCAGCCACTCTGCCCCATCCCACACAAACCAAACCCCTCCCCAGGCTGCGGCTGACAAAGGAGCCCAAATTCACACAGACAGCAAGTTCTGCTCAAATGAAGGGATACCAGGCTCACCCTCCCTCTGCTCCAAAACTCTCAGCAACCAGGGTTCCCACAGGAAAATGCCCTGATTTCCAGACAGGAAGGTCAGCCAGGAGTGCCCTCCCCACTCCAGGGGGAATTACTCAGCTGCACCCCAGCAATCCCCAACTCCAGTGCCTGCTGCTCCCCAGTGCAGGTCACTCACTGCAGGAGCTGAGCCCTGGGGACAGCCCCACCGGCAGCTCTGGGAGGGGAAAGGGCTCAGGAGGAAGATGAGCAAAGCTCTTTGTGACAATCTGGGGGGGAAAGGGCTCAGGAGGAAGATGAGCAAAGCTCTTTGTGACAATTTGGGGGGGAAAGGGCTCAGGAGGAAGATGAGCAAAGCTCTTTGTGACAATTTGGGGGGGAAAGGGCTCAAGAGGAAAATGAGCAAAGTCTTTGTGACAATCTGAGGGGGAAAGGACTCAGGAGGAAGATGAGCAAAGCTCTTTGTGACAATTTGGGAGGTTCAGGGTGAAGATGAGCAAAGCTCTTTGTGAGAATCTGCAGTCCTGGGGAAATGGCTTTGCCACCCAGGGATGTCAGAGTTTATTTCAACAAGCTGGACGTTAACCACATTTTGAATGTGAGTTAACAGAGATGTATAAACACCCAAATAATAGGAATTAAATTATCAGAGTGCAAAGGAGCCCTGGGAAGGGCTCCAGTCAGGAGTGAGCAGCCTGATTATTGCCTGTGCTGCTGCTTCCCACTGCCCACAGCCTTGGTGCTGAACAACCACCCCTCACTAAACACAAAACTGCCAGAGTCATTCCCAGTCCAAGCTGAAGCCAAAGCTCCCATCCCAACCAGAACCCCTTCCCTGTGAAGCTCAAACCTCCCAGGATGACGACAGCAGCAGAGAAGAGAGTGAAAAAGAACATCCCAATCTTGTCAAAACCTGTCAGGTATGACTCCAGCGGGGGAAAACCCTGGTCTGGAGGTGATGCTGCTCATTGCTCAAACTCCCTCCCACTCACCACTTCAAAGGGCTCCCTTGGACTCGCTGCTTCCCAACATTTGGAACATTCCGGGAAGGAACATTTGCAGAATGCAAATGGAGCACAAGAATTACTTCATGCCACAGTTACAGCTCCTTTGCCAACGTTTTTATATTAAAAAATTCCCAGAAACTGAACTCCACAAGGACAATTTCAGCAGTCTTCTGTGGCAGGTATTTTAACACTGTAAAAAGAGAGGTTTTCCATATTCCCTGCTCTTTAGTCCCAGTTTTTACATCAGAGGCTCTGGCAGCTGCACTCCAGGTGAGCTGGGCCATTTGTCACCTCAACAACACCTAAACATAAAGGATAAACCACAATTACCTGTGTTATTGCACTTCCACTTCTCCAGGGAGAGAATTGCTCTGGCAGGTGCTAAGAATGCAAAAGCACTGGCTTGGAACAGGGGTAACCTGGGGAGGACAGGAGAGATGGTGACATCCTGTGGGGTGGCCACTCAAACCCCCCCGTGCTGAGCTATAAAACTGGGAAATCACAGCATTTCTCACCAGAAACAACCCAGACAGAGAAACACAGAGACTTCACAAGGCAAAGAGCTGACAGCACCTGCCTGGAGTGGCTCCAGGGGCCAGGCAGGTGTGACAGCAGCACAGGGACACAGGGGGACACTGAGGTAAAGGTGCAGTTTTCACCCTCCCAGCTCTCTAAAGATGCAGTTTTTCCCCTCCCAGCTCTCTGGAGATGCAGTTTTCACCCTCCCAGCTCTCTGGAGGTGCAGTTTGCACCCTCCCAGCTCTCTGGAGATGCAGTTTTCACCCTCCCAGCTCTCTGGAGATGCAGTTTTCACCCTCCCAGCTCTCTAAAGATGCAGTTTTTCCCCTCCCAGCTCTCTGGAGGTGCAGTTTGCACCCTCCCAGCTCTCTGGAGGTGCAGTTTTCCCCTCCCAGCTCTCTAGAGGTGCAGTTTTCACCCTCCCAGCTCTCTAAAGATGCAGTTTTTCCCCTCCCAGCTCTCTGGAGGTGCAGTTTTCACCATCCCAGCTCTCTGGAGGTGCAGTTTTCCCCTCCCAGCTCTCTGGAGGTGCAGTTTTCACCCTCCCAGCTCTCTAAAGATGCAGTTTTTCCCCTCCCAGCTCTCTGGAGGTGCAGTTTTCCCCTCCCAGCTCTCTAGAGGTGCAGTTTTCACCCTCCCAGCTCTCTAAAGATGCAGTTTTTCCCCTCCCAGCTCTCTGGAGGTGCAGTTTTCACCATCCCAGCTCTCTGGGGATGCAGTTCTTCCCCTCCCAGCTCTCTGGAGGTGCAGCCTGCAGGCTCCATCCCTCCCCTGTGCATGACTCTGAGCTCACTCATTTTGGAGTGCATGTCTCAATAACTGCTGGGCTGATGGGAGCAGATTAGATGTTCCCAGTGCTTGCCACCAATAAATACAAACACCGCAAGAATTTCAAGATGACATTCTTAGCATTGATGTTTATACTTCCCGAAAGATTTGAGAGATCTGAAGAGGATCTACCTGCACCAGGTATGAATCTGCTGACCTCACTGCACCTTGTGTAACAAATATCCCAAGGTTACTAAACTGCAGATGCACTCTGAACTATTCCACAAATACTGACAGGAATGCATTGCCAGGAGATCCCTTTAAAGGGAAATCCCAAGGTGTGACACAGGGAATGAGGGCAGAAAAAAGAACTGCTCAGGTAAAGGTGAGAAAATGCCCACAGGAGGAGAAGTGTGGGGGGAAATGGTGAACAGAGAGCACAGGAAAGATCAAACCAGTTATTAATGGAGTTGGGAAGTTCACAGGAGCAGTCTGGGCAACTTCAAAGCCACCAAATGCTGAAAACTGCATTATAAACTCAAACCTCATGAACTCCATGAGGCACCCAAGCACGGCTGGCTGGACAGAACTCCCCTAGGAGCTCCTCCATGCAGAAATGCCAGCTCCAGGAAGCCAGGGCTGGTGGCTCAGGATGATTCAGCCCATCAGGCAGAGCTGGTGCCCATGGCAGGGCTGCAACACCTGGAACAAGCTGCTACCGCTCCGTCCCACCTACACAGCCCCCTCAGAGGTCTGGTAAACACACACTGCAAACACATTCTCCAGGGCTGAGCTCACTGCCGCCAGCCTGGGCTGCTGTGCATCCCGTGGAGGGATGGGAAATCACAGCCCAGCACCTGGCCCTGCTCCACTGTTATGTGGCACAGCTAACTCCCAAAACAGTGGGGATTTTCCCCCTAAGCCAGGCAAAAAAAGAGTAATTTAAGTTTTTTTTAAACGTTGCTCAAAATCAGTCAAGCAAGCTCTGTCTGGGAGGGACTTACAGATTTTAAGGCAGCCACTCAGTGCCAGCCAGCTAAAGCACCAAAGCTCCTGAGTGGGGTTTTCATTTCAATTCCATGTCTAAACCATGCAGCTGCTCCGTTCTGGCACGGATTGAGGTGAAGACAGGAGTTTCTCTGCAGGCAAAGGCACCTGGAAATGTCTCATTTGGGTTCCCATGTCCCACAGATGTGAGAGAGCTGAGCCAGAGCAGGGCACAGCAGCAGAGCTGCCACCCTGGCGGGGATTAAAGCTGTGCTGAATTATCTCAGTGCCACTAATTACCCACTAATGAACCCCTGCCAGAGCTGGGGCTCACTGCACAAGCCAGGGAATAGCTGGAATTCCTAGAACTGGTCTGGGTACCCAACCTACCCCAACTCCACCCCGTAATCGAGCTAAATCCATCTTTAAGAACCCTTAAACCGTGGAATTTGACCTTTTGAAACCTTTATTTGCTGAAATACTTTGCAGTTGACAGACCTGCCAATGAATACTTGCAAATCTCATTGAGAGGCCTGAGCTGCTGTATCCCATTCCCAGCCTTACATAAACCCCCATCACATGGGCAAGAGTTATAAAACATCCCAGCGTGGAAATTTCCTCCACAAACACAAGTTATTTTAAGACCCAAACACAATTTGGCCTTCAGGGATATGAAAATGTAAGTACAATGCAAGTGGGAGCCACTGAAAAGGGAAAAATCCCAGCAGGGCTGGGATTACACAGAAAGAACAGAGAATTTCAAAATTCTGTGATTTTGGGCACCCTTCTCTCTGAATGAGCCCCAAATCCCTCTCTATTAAGTGATAAAAAATCAAGATTATTAAGGGGGAAAAAAACCCCAAATATGACAAACTTCCAGACAAGGTACATGAGGATTTATGGTTACAGCACAAAGATCCAGCCAGGCTGGAAATAAGATTATTGACCTGGGGAGTCTTGACTTAAAAAAGTACATTGGGGAAAGAAAGTTTGCTTTTCCAACAGCTTCCACTCTGTTGTTTTGCCATCAGAGTGAACTTTCCAAGACAGAGGAGTGAGCTCCTAAGTCCAGTAAGACAAAAGAAATAGAGGGAAGGGTTTTTCTTCCTCAAAGGAAAAAGTGAAGTAAAGGTAACTCAACCACCTAAAGATTCTGGCTCTTAACTAAATCCTTAAAAATGTGGAATTTTCTAGTGGCAAGCAGGATTTCTGCCTGTGCCCAGGCTCACCTGCAGCTGAAATTAATAAAACCACCCCAGGCAGCCCCTCTTTACCAAGGTGTGTGAATGAATTGTTCCTCTCCCAGAACACTCCTGCCTCCTCTGTTCTGGGAACCCCTAAATTTCTGTTGCCAGGCTCACCTGCAGCCAAAGGTGGTCTGGAGCAGAAATTAATAAAAACCACCACAGTCAGCCCCTCTTTTCCAAGGTGTGTGAATGAATTGCTCCTCTCCCAGAACCCTCCTGCCTCCTCTGCCCCAGGAACCCCTAAATTCCTGTTCTGAGGCTCACCTGCAGCCGAAGGTGGTCTGCAGCAGGGTGGTGATGCCCACGCAGAAGAAGATGGTCCCGATGAGCTGGCTGGTGGCCCACTGGTCGAAGCCCACGCACATGGCATCGGCCAGCAGGAAGGGCACGGCGATGGTCCCGCTGAAACACGTCAGGTAGTGCTGGGGGCACAGGGTTAGTGCTGCAAACCGTCCTTCCAGCCCACCCCCAGCATCAGACGCGCACTTAAAGCAACTTAGGGATCTTAGGTTTTAGTCAGAGATAAGTTTTTTTGGAGTTAATCAAAACAAATGGGTAGGTCTTGATGAAGTTATGCTGTAATAGTTAACTAATAATTGATTGCACGTCAACATAATGTTTGGCTAGCTGGGTTTATAATATAGAATTATAAATAGAATATTCTATATTCTTATAGAAGAATATAGAAACTGATAAGCAGCTTTTAGGAACATAAGACAATTGTTTCTAGGAACATAAGACAATTGTTTTTAGGAACATAAGACAATTGGAGGCCTGCTCTGTTCTGAAACCAACTGAAAATGGGGAATGGGAGTTCTACCAAGGGTTCGTTTGCCATATTTGCATTGAGAAGGCAGAAAGGTCAGAATGAGGAAGATTTCATTTACTTCCTCATTTTGGGACCCCTCCCCATGAAAGGGACCCATTTCAAGGGACAAACTACTCATGCTTAATGGCTTTTGAACTAATTACCGTATGGAGCAGGGGATGGGATGTACCAAAGCCATGAACATGTATTTGTATTTTGGATATTCAATACTTGTATAGATAAAAGGGCTCTGTAACCACCTGTAAATTGGGTGTGTATTTGGGAGTTATCCCACAATAAACATCCACTTTCTAACTCTAAACTGTTAGAGAGTTTGGATATTGGTACCAGATCAATATCCTTATTGGGAATGGGATGTTCCAAAGTCATGGATTTGTATTTTGGGTATTCAGTACTTGTATAGATAAAAAGGCTCTGTAATCACCTGTAAACTGCAGTGTGTATTTGGGAGCTATCCCACAATAAACACACACTTTCTAACTTTAAACTGTTACAGAGCTCTTGTCCATCACAGCTGGGTATCAGGACCAGATCAATACCCATATTTTTAATAAATCAAGCAGCTTCTGTTCCTGCCTCTGAACCCCCAGCAGAGCTCCCCTTCCCAGAGCTTTGCTTTCAGTGTTTCTCGTGATCCCCGCGTGGAGATTTCTGATTTTTGTGATTTCTGGGGGATCCCAGGCTCCTGGAACACTCCGCTCTCCTGAGGAGGCACCCAGGTAGCTGTGCTGAGAGCAGCCTCCAGCCCAGAAATGATTCCACTCACACACAAATGACTCCTCAACTCTTCCTCCACCCAGGCACGCCAAAAGCAAAACAAACCCAACAAATTTTCACCAAATTTTCACCATACTCCACACAAAAGTGAAAACAGAATTCCTACAGAACTGCCTGTCCTTGAGGAAAAGGCAGCAATAAAAAGGATGCTTTGGAATGTGTTTGTTTGGAGGTCTCAAGGTCCTTCACAGAGATTACCGGATTCTCAGCATTCCTGTGGGCCAGATGTTATTGCCACTGCAGAGGGAAGGAAGGAGGTGGGACTGGAGCAGTGGCTGAGCTGGAGGAAGCACCTGCTCCTGCTCCAAGGGCAGGCCAGGTGCAGGGTGATGCTCTCAGCACTGAAATAACTGCAGCAGCAGCTTTAATATTCAGTATTTCGGGTCTAAACCCTTGTATCTCCCCCATTTTTATCTCCAGAGATGCCCAATGTCCCTTGTGAAGGCCTCCACTGAGCCTCTGATCACTCATTTACCAACAGCAGCTTTTAACTCAATAATCTGAGTGACTCTCACCAATGCATGAGCTGAGAACTGAAATCATTCTCAGAGCAATGATCTGGAATTGAAATGAGTGTGATCAACCTCAGAAAAAACCTCCCAACATCTCCTTCAAAATCATTCCCAGAGCAGCGATCTGAATGTGATCAGCCTCAGAAGAAACCTCCCAACACCTTCCTCAAAATCCTTCTCATAGCAGTGATCCAAGTGTGATCAGCCTCAGAAGAAACCTCCCAACACCTTCCTCCAAATCCTTCTCATAGCAGTGATCCAAGTGTGATCAGCCTCAGAAGAAACCTCCCAACACCTTCCTCCAAATCCTTCTCATAGCAGTGATCCAAGTGTAATCAGCCTCAGAAAAAACCTCCCAACACCTTCCTCAAAATCCTTCTCATAGCAATGATCTGAGTGTGATCAGCCTCAGAAAAAACCTCCCAACACCTTCCTCACACAGGTGAGAGTGGAGAAGGATAAACCTCACAAACACAATGACCTGCACAGAAAATCCTCAATAAATTTGGAAGCCACAGAAGCAAAAGCTGCCTCTGCTTGGGGACGTACCTGCAAGCCCAGGAAGATGCAGAGGTACCAGGGAGGAACATCCTCAATGGTGTAAATCATGTCAGTCCTCTGGGCATCCAGGCTGCCACTGCTGTCCAGGGTCTCTGCCAGGGAGCTCTGCAGGAACAAGGGGCACCAGCAGGTTAGTGCTGCACAGAATAAAGGGAATTTCAGCTCCCAGGCTGCTTCAGCAGCTCTGGCTTGTGACAATTTCAAAGCCTTTCCCATCCAGCTCCTGAATTTGTAGCCAGCATGTTCCCTTCTGAACACTCCCTGCTTATTTATTTATAAGTGCTGATTTCTGACAGAACTGATCTGGCAGCCAAAAGGTGCCCAAAAATGGATTCAGCATGACAAGGCTGTTAAAAAACCCCACCAAACCCCAAAACCACAAAAACAAACAGAAAAAGAAGACAGGGAAGAACTGGAACTAAGGAGAAGAGCTCTGTCCTTGCACCAGAGACCAAAATCGCTGGCAAAAATAAATCCTCATTATGATAATTGCTTCCCTGCTCTGCTCTTACCCAATTCCATCTTGGTTAACCACTTTTAGCCAAAGAATTCATCATTTCCCTTCTTCCCCCTCATTTATGCAGTCAGGAAAACTGCTGATTGCTTATTACACCCAAATTAATCCCCAACCGATTTCCACCAGCCAGGCAGAATTCCCCCAGGAATTTCAATTCCCCCAGGAATCCACTGCCAGTGCCAATGGAGAAGTGAGCACTCCCATTCACACATCAACACCCCAGAGAAACAAGGGCCAGCTCTGCCCTTTCTCTGTCACAAATAACTGGAATCTGGTTTGGGAATTCCTGAGAGCAAACCCACAACGCTCCAAATGCCCCAGCACAACAACAGAAGCAGGAGGAAGTATCAGATGTTGTAATTTCAGAGCAAGCAGCTCAAAAATGACCTTACACAACAGCTGCTGTGCCCTAATCCAGCCCAGGACGCTGGGAGCCCACGTGGAGCTGCCTCACACAGAGCCTGGGAGCTCTGCCAGACCCGTGACTGCCCCAAATGGGCTCCACTTCTCCAAAAATGCCCACCAAATGGGCTCCACTTCTCCAAAAATGCCCACCACAGCCAGGGCTGGGCTGGGCTGGGCTGCACTCGGTGCCACCTGCCAGGCCAGCAGCCAAACTGGGCCTGGCACTGCCCTCCCGCCCCAGCCTGCTGCTGGGAGAACAAATCCACTGGGAAATTCACATTTTGGGGGGTGAAAGCGGGCACAGTGCTGAGGGTGCTGCACAGAAATGCAGAATACAGAAATTCGTTTGAGAGAACTCCCGAAAGCACTTGGGGCAATGCTCTCCCCTCCTGCAGCCCCAGTGACAGCTGTTCATGGGCTGAAAAAGGAACCAACTCTCTCCTGACCCATTTCTCTATTAAAAAACCACGTGAATAAAACCAGGGATTTGAGCCATGGAATGGCTGAGGGTGGAAAAGCCCTCTCAGATGCCCAGCTCTGACCAGCAGCACCACCATGGGCATCACCAACCCCATCTCCAACTTTAACACCTCTGGGGATGGGGACTCCACCACTGCCCCTGCCAACCCCTGACCACCCTTTCCACAAAAAAATTCCTCCCAAATAAATAAAAAAATTTATTTTTTATTTATTATTTTTTATTTCCAGCCTGGCCCTGCCCTGGCTGGGCTGCAAGGACCTCAGGGCCCAGCGCCACTCCACACACTCCTTTCGTGTGCTGAACAATTCCCACACATTTAGGAACTGTATCTTTCATTTTCTGTCCTATGGGGTAGTTTGGGATCTATTATTAAACAATATCCTACAAATTTAAAATAGTAAAAGAAGCCAGAACTGTTTTGTTGCCATGAGGGAAGGGAACTGGGTGATGGTTTAGCTGACTGAGGGGTTTATCTTGGATTAGGCTGTGGGTTGAGGGCTTTTTTTGAGATTTCTGGAGAAAACAACAATGAAAACAACAATTCCACTGTCCCAGGCTGCTCCAAACCCCATCCAGGCTGGCACTGGGCACCTCCAGGGGCAGCCAGAGCTGCTCTGGGCACCTGTGCCAAGGCTGCCCACCCTGTTCCTGCATTGGGAGCCACAGCAAAGCTTTAACTCCAGGAGAAACGCTTCCTCCACAGCTCCAGGTCTCTTTTAGGTGAATTATTCTCCACCACCCCAGTTCTGATCCCAGCTGGGAGGGAGGGAAGCACAGCCTGGGCAAAGCAGGAACACTGAGGTGTCTGGAGATGGCTTATCTCATTGCACAATTCACCCCAACACCTCTGGCTCAAGGCCTTTATCAGATTGTGCCTCTCCACTCCAGCCCCAGCACGCTCCAAACACCAGCCCTCAAACCTCTGACAGGTAACAAAAAGCTGCCCATGAAATGTGAGTGTGGGGATGGGAGTGAGGCACCTGGGCAGGCTGAGCTGGGAGGCTCCAGGCCCTGACAGACCTCTGGCTGCTCAGGGGATGGTTCAGATCTGAAATTCAGGAGTGAAAACATGAACTGCATCTCCTGGTGCCATCCTTGGCCCAGCAGAAACCATGGATTGAAGGGAGGAGCATCATGGTGTCCCTGCTTGGAACCAGGAATTTTGTTCCTGTTTCAATCAGGGCATTTGAAACACTTGGGTCATGCTGAGGCTTTTCAGAGACAAAAAAGCCAGTCTGACTGAACATTTTGGAAGTTCAGTTTACCATAATCCTCATCCTTTTTTTAAACAAAGCTCAGACTCACACCATCTCAGCTTGCAGGATCATCACTGAACAGAGCCAGGCAATGAAAGAATGGAGAAAAAAGCTGGAAAAATCCCACCCCAAGGGCATGAACTGCTCCCACCATTTCCTGAGTCATGGCCCAAGTGCTGCACCCACAGTGTGTGACCAGGAGTCACGAGGGCAGAAGTGCCTGGGGAAATGTGGATGTGCAAGTCAGCAGCTCTGGGACAGGAAAGCTCCCAGGCAGATGGGGGCAAAGCACCAAAAATGAGCTCCCAACAGCAGGGGAGCCCCAGGCAGCCTGCTTCACACGAATTCAGCCCCAGTACCTTCTCTGCTATGCCATTCTCCGTGGTGTAGATGGCCATCAGCTCCGTGTCCTCTGTGTCCTGGTCACCGCTGGACGTGGCTCCACCGTTTATCACCACCTTAAAAAGCAACAAAAACAGAAATAGGTGAAGTTAAAATCAACATTTCCTCTGCCGTCACACCTCAGATGTCAGTTTTCTCATCTGGCTCTGACATTTAGTCAGAGAACATGAGGAGCATGGCAAGGCATCACTTCTGTAACAGCAGGGACAGACAGCACAGAGAGCTGCCTGTGCTACACACAAATATTCACAGTTTTGTCACTGACTGCTCATGGAAAGGAAGGGTTTGTACACCTGGAGCATTACTGGAGCATTATTTGGACTCATCCTCGTATCTGCTCTGACCATGGGGAGCTGCCTGTCCTGGGAACAGGGAATGAGCATGCACAGCAGGGCTGGCTGTGTTACACACAAATATTCACAGTTTTGTCACTGACTACTCATGGAAAGGAAGGGTTTGTACACCTGGAGCATTACTGGAGCATTATTTGGACTCATCCTCGTATTTGCCCTCTGTGGTGCTCTGACCATGGGGAGCTCCATGTCCTGGGAATGAGCACGCACAGCAGGGCTGGCTGTGTTACACACAAATATTCACAGTTTTATCACTGACTGCTCATGGAAATGAAGGGTTTGTACACCTGGAGCATTACTGGAGCATTATTTGGACTCATCCTCGTATCTGCTCTGACCATGGGGAGCTGCCTGTCCTGGGAACAGGGAATGAGCACGCACAGCAGGGCTGGCTGTGTTACACACAAATATTCACAGTTTTGTCACTGACTGCTCATGGAAATGAAGGGTTTGTACACCTGGAGCATCACTCCCTGCCCAGGGCTCACTCACAGGCAGGGTGAAGAAGGTGGGGTGCTTGGACTCATCCTCATATTTGCCCTCTGTGGAGCCCCCTCCTGCCTCCACCGACTTGGCCGTGGTGTTCTTGCCAATCCCCATGGTGTCCAGCACGTCCAGGACTTGCATGCAGCACCCAGGAGGCGCCTCAGGGACAGGCCAAGAATGAAGGACAGCTCCTTATTCCAGCAGCAGCAGCTCCAGGAGTCACTGAGGAGCTCAGTAATCCAGCTGGGACATCAGCGCGTCCTTCCCATCAACAGCTCCTAGGAGGGAAGGGAGAAATTGGGTTTGTTAGGAGGGAAATAAGTCAGGCTCATCATCTGAGGGTCCTGAGTTTGTTCCTCACCATATGTTGGTTCTTGGCCTCTTTACTTCTGTTAAAGGCACTTGAGATGACAGTTCACATTCAGATTTAAATATTCATTATTTCTCATCTACATTACAAGTCCTGAGTTCTACAGCATTCCGCTAACAAGGTGCAAAATGGTGAGCTCTCTTTCTATTCAATTAAGAGATGGCACTCAAATTATTTTTACTTTTAACCCAATAACTGATCACTCCAAGTCTGCAATGTGGACTTTTTTATCCAATTACACAATACCACCCAAACTTATGAAGAAGAAGGACACAGAGAAAATCCAAGTTTTGCAGCCTGTGCTTACTGAGCTTTAAACAGAGAACGCAGCTGCCAGCACCTGCAGGTGAAAGCAGGTCAGGTACAGGTGAAAGTACAGGACAGAACCTGCAAAAATGGCTCCTGAAAGGCACAAAAAGTGGAATTTTCTGCACCCATCCAGGCAGCAGAACCCACTCACGCTGGTGTGAATTCAAAAGCAAGTTAATGACGGGTTCAGCTGAACCCCAAGGTGGAACACAGCTCAGGGACACTCAAATACAGGTTTGGATTGGAAAAAAAGAGGCAGAATTTGGGTTTTTCCTGAAGTCTCCCCTTCCAGATGGTGCTCAGGAAATGCCAGCAGCTCCTGTCCACTGTAATTGCAATAATAACTGAACTTGAGAAAGACTCCTCTGCTGAGGGCAATTCAGGACTGTACTAATATATGAATACTAATATTTTAGAACCTCTTAATAGCTGTTAATTGCCCATTTGCTGGAAAACTCTGGCTCCTTGAGGTGAAAGAAACATCAAAACTTTCAAAGCAAAGGAGGTATCTCCCAAAAAGTCACATAAAAAAGACAATTTGGGCACTGGGATCCCTTGAAGCATTAATTAAATCAACATGCAATGGAAGGCAGTGCCTGCAAATCAGAGTTAAGATTTGTTTATGAGAGTAAATATTAAGGCACATAATGAATTAGTTCTCACTTGAAGAGTGAAGGAGAAGACTGGTTTGAACACTCACTGTCTTGCTCTGGAAAAAAGCTGTACTTCCCATTTTCACAGAGCAGCTCAGGGCAGAGAGGAGACAGGTACTGCTTAAAGGTTTGGGGGCACTGGGCTGGGATTTCTGGAGGGGTTTTTTCTGTTTGCTTTTACAGAACAATGAGGATTTATTTTTTTTCCCCAGCACACAAGAACAGAGAGAGGACAATCTGCCTTTCTCTGCCAGCGCAGACGTGCTGCATCCTCCAAGAAAATCAGAGATGGAGACGGGCGAGGCTGGGTCTGGGAAGGGAAAGGGCAGCAGAAGCCTCAGCCAGAACCAATAAATAACCGTGAGCCAGGGAAGCTGCCAGGATCTGCTCTGGGGTGCCCTGGGAACTGCACCAGGACAGCAAAGCTTGCCTGGGGTCCGGGGATGGCTGAGGGCTGGCACGGCAGAGCTGAAACAACAATTCCCCAACAGAGACAGGCAGAGCCCCTCGGCGCTGCTCTCCCAACGACAGGGAGGGTTTGTGGCACCAGGGGCTGCTCCAAGACAAACCAGGAGGAACCTCCCAGCTCCTCCTGCTGCTCCCCAGCAATTAAAACCGCTCTTAATGGCACAGAGGATCATCACAGGGCTCTGGAACGCTTTGATTCTGCAATCGGGAGTGTCAGAGAGGTGAAGATAAACTCTGCCAGCTGCCTGAAGCTCTCTCAGAGATCACTCCTTATCAGCTCCCACCACATGAGTCAGTTTTTACAGCCCTCCAGAGCAAATCCAGCTCCTGGGGAGCCGAAAAGTCCTGGAGAAAGAGATAAAACAAAAGAGATAACACAAAAGAGATAACGCGAAGGAGATAAAGCCCATTGAGCACGGGGCAGGTACACCCAGCACAAGCCATCACCTGCAGGCTGGGGTCCAAAGGGAAGCTGGAAGTGGAATTTCTGCCAGGACTCCCTTCCCACATGGGTCACCCCAGGAGAGGCCAGGCCTTCACAGAGCTGCAGATAAGATTAGGGTTCACACAAAGGTGCAAGTTCAGGAGGAAAAGCCAGGCCAGGGAGAGGCCACCCTGCACCTCCACCATCAGCACAGAGCTCCTCCAGCCCCAGAGCCACCAGAAGAGGTGGCAGGGTCTGGTGTGACACAGCATCCGCTCCTCATGCTCCCAGGACCACCCTCCACACCCTCCCTTTGCCAAGGCTGCTGTCATTGCATTTAAACAAACCAGGATGTGTTCCAAAGCTCGTGGAAAAAAGGATCAACCCCATCAGAGATATGGAGATCTATAGTTTGTTTAAATGCTCTTTTTTCTCCCTGCAACTTTCTGCTCTGGAACCTCCACCACAAATGAAAACATTCACTAAAGCACAAAGGTTTTCCTACAGGAAAATCTGCGCCAGAAAAGCTCCCACTTCCCCAGGTACCAAGTGCCTGTGAGTCAGTAAAAATCCTTTTTTATCACCTCTTCAGCAGGCCCAAGGGCTAACTGGGCAGGACAGAAGGTGCAGACAGACATGAAGAGTTCACTGGCAGGAAAAGTGGCCATGAACCCCACAGCAGTGGGACACTGCATGCACTGTTTCCTTTCAAAGCACTGCACGCAGCCTGGGGCTGAAGCACACCCAAAATATTCCCTGGATCAGATTTATGCTGTGGCAGCTCCTCCCTGCCCTGCTCCAGGCTTTCAACATCAATATTTGAATCCAGAGCCTGGCAAAAACAAAGCCCACCTGACCTCCAGGCAGTTGGGAAGTTCTCGGGGTTCTTCTCTCATTTTGGGTTGATTTGGGGTTTTTTAACTCTCTTAGAAGGGTCAATGCTTTGCCAGGTGCTGTTGGCCTGGCAGCAGCAGTTCTGGCCATGGGCAGTGCTGCTGTAAAGCTCATTTGCAATGAGCAGACCTGGAGTTTAACCCTCTGGAGGGAGCTCAGGCTCCCCCATGACTGCCAGCCCTGAAAATTACAGTTTTTCCAAAGTGAAACCAGCCCTGGGTATTCCCTTATTTGCCAAACTCAAACCAAAACCCTTCTAAAACCACAAAGGCTGAATTCCAGCTGGATCCTAAATTTCCACACCCATGACAACCAAAATAATTCAGACTTTCCCTGTCACTTCAGGCAATCCTGTCCTGGATTTGGTGGCCCTTCCCTGCTGCACAAGGGGAATATTCCCAAAGGAAGCACAAGGAATGTGATGACAAATGTCACCATGTCACAGCTCCTGAGGTGGCACAGCCAAGCAGGACCTTCCTGGCTGGCACAGACGGCCGAGGAGCCAAAAATCCTCCGGCTGCTGCGCCCACGAAGGAGATTAGAATCAAATTAAGGTCGCTGCTTAATTACCATCACCAATTTATTATTTTAATGAGCTGTCAGGCCGGTGTGAACAGAGCAACCTTCTCCTGCAAGCAGAGATGATGCTCAGCCAGCGTTTGTCCCTCCTGAGGTGCCTCTGGAATTTCAGCACCTCCCTGGCACTTGCAGGTGTTTGGCACCTCTGGGACTCACGGGATGTGTCTGAACACAGCCGAGGTGTGAGATTGTGTTTTTGGCAGCAGACATGCAAAGGGACACGGGCTCCCTTAAAAGAGAACTCTGCTGCTCACGGGTGCCCAGAGGTGCTGCGTGTTTTCCTAGGAAAAACAGGCTCTCCCCAGTTAAAAACATTCCACAAACCTCTCATCACCCAGGTGAAAAAAGCCCAACAAACACTCAAAGGATGCAATCCAAGTCCTGTCTGCAGAGCCACAGCCACAAACCCAACTGCTCCATCCCAGACCTGTGCCTGGACGGGGCACCTGAGAGCTCCCACCCGCTGTCCACTCGGGCAGGGAGTGCCTCAAGGGCTTTTTTCTGCCTTCCAGGGCATTTTCACCATCTCACACATGTGAAAAAGGTGCCCAGAACCCACACATTTCATTTTCCCTTGATGTAAAAGCCACCCTCCTGCTTCAGTCTTGGAGGGAGTTTTTATCTCAGGGAGTTTGGAGCAGCCTCTTCTCTTTGGTCCAAGGAAATTCCTGATTTGTCTTTAGCAGGGACCTCTCCTGATCTATCTTCAGCAGGGACCTCTCTCCTAATTTACCTTTAGCAGGGACTTCTCCAGATCCTTCCCACCACCTGAAGTTGCACTGAAATGCCACCACCACATCCCAACTGCTCCTAGATTTCCCCTTGCACTGAACCACATCCACAACAAGGAAAGCAGACTCCAAACTCCACCCAACAGCACACAGTTCAGCTTTACCTGCTGCAGAGACAAATGAAACGCTGCCACATACCCAAACTTCCTAACATCAGACTCCTAAAAAACTCAATTTAGGTTTAAAAAGAATTGATGGGCACCCTAACACCGCACAGTTCATCTTTACCTGCTGCAGAGACAAATTAAATGCTGCTACATCTCCAAACTTCCTAACATCAGACTCCTAAAGAACTCAATTTGGGTTTTAAAAAGAACTGGTGGGCACTTTAAGAAGCTTCCTTCTTCAGCTCTTCAAAGCACAAACAAATTCTTTCTTTGGAGGCACTAATGAATTTTTAAGTAGTTGGTATTTTGACTGCCATCCAGAGCGGTGCTTTAATAACTGACCAACGTTATTAGGGCAAGTCTACACAAAGCTAAGCTGCAAAGTTATGCCGAGCTCAAACCTTCCACGTATTTAAAGCACATTAGCTAAATCTCATTAACTCCCTGTGTGAATGAGCTTGTTGAGAAGGGGACTCAAATCCAGCTGAATGAGGTGTTTACCAAAGGATGTCACAGCTTCCAAAAACTGAGGTTTGGTTAGTCAAGTTATTAGCTGAGAGCTTGGTTAGGCTGGGATTCTAAACCAGAATAGGTGAAAATTCTAAACCAAACTAGCTGAAAATTCTAAATGAGAATAGGTGATTCTAAACCAGAATAGCTGAAAATGCTAAACCAAAATAGGT